TCAAGCAGTAGAAATTGAGGTGCCGGTACTCAGCTCTGGTGAGCTGCATGAAATGCTTTTCTTCAGAGGTAGGTGGCACCAAAAGCAGTGTGTGTTGCCTTTCCTTTCTACAAGATAGAGGCCCACAATCTGTTTGCTCTGTCTGTAGCCTTGCTTCCCATCCAAATGAAGAGGCTCTTGACATGACTCACTGCTTAAATTCCTCTACACACTTTGTGTAGTTTGCCAAATGGTTAATTCCACCAAGCCTTAATTTAGCCCTTACTGCTCAATGTTTTATAGGCCTATGTTAAGCTTGGGTGGCAAAGAGCTTTCAAGCATAATTCATCCATTTAATTTGCCATGCTGGGTTTAGTTTCTTCCAACATTTTGCAGTCTATAACAACTTGTCTCATTGAGCCCTCTTATGTAGGGAATCCCAGATACTGGGACAATACGTTAGACTCTGCTATTCAACCAGACGGCTTCTCCATATTCCAAATGGATCGAACGTCGGCTTCTGGTAAGAGTTGTTAGTGTTTCCTCATAAACAATTCCTGGTGTACCGACGACGAAAACATTGCGAGCTCCTGTTCACCCGAACTGGCGTTTCTGATGCCAAAATGCTGACCCCACTATATATCGAGGGAATTCGCGTGTGTTATCACAGCTGGGTACGTACCACCACAAGCTAACACCACTTAGCAAACTGTACAAGAGAATTTAGCCAGCAAGAATCCTCTCACCCAGAATAAGTCTTTATTGTCACGGGTGACTTTAACCAAGCCCGTCAAACTCATTTCCCCAAAATATCACCAATGTGTATCCTGGCCCACAAGAGGATCCAGTGTGCTTGACCATGTATACACAAACATCTGTGACTCATACAAAGCCATCCCCCTCCCCCACTTCGGCCAATCAGATCACGTCTCTGTTCATACTCCCCTGCCTACAAGCAGCAACGGAGATATCTGTACAATGCTAAGAGCCCGTACTGCAGCGTTCAACGTCAGCAGAACGAACCCAGATGACTTGGTGGCGTGCAACGGGTACAAGGCAAGCAGGTACGAGCTCCGCAAATCCATTAGGGATGCGACAATACTCAACTTGAATTGATGTTCGACAACTCAGAATCGCGTCGCATGTGGCAAGGACTACAGACTACAAAGGCAGATCTAGCTGTGCAGTGCCCACCGACGCCTGCCTCCCAGATGAGCTCAACACATGCTAAGCTCGCTTTGAGGCAGACAATTCCCGAGCGATCCAGGAAGACTCTCGCTGCTCCGGTCGAACAGGTGCTTTCGCACTCCAAGACTGACGTTAGGAAAACTCTTGAGTGAAAACTCACAAAGCCGCCAGCCAAGATGGCATCCCTGGCCGCATCCTCTGTGTTTGCTGACCAACTGGCGGGCGTCTTATTGGACATCTTCAACCTGTCCCTGTCTCAACCTGTAGTCCCCACCTGCTTTAAGGAGACCACCATCATCCCAGGGCCCAAGGAAAACAAGGTGACATGCCCGAATGACTATCGCCCCATCGCGCTCACCTCCGTCATCATGAAGTGCTTCAAGAGGCTGGTCATGGCCCCACATCAAGGCCACCATACCAGGCACGCTGGACCCACTCCAATCTGGCCACTGCTCCAACAGATCCACGGAAGATGCCATTTTTATCACTGGTCACACAGCCCTAACACCTCTGGACAAGAGGAACACCTATGTGAGAATGCTCTTCATTGACTACAGTTCAGCGTTCAACACTATTGTTCCCTCCAAGCTCTACACCAAGCTCAGAGCCCTGGGTCTGGACACCACACTCTGCCACTGGATCCTGGACTTCCTGACGGGCAGACCACAGGCTGTCAGGATTGGCAATAACACCTCCTCGACACAGACTCTTAACACAGCCCCCCCCCCCCCCCCCCCCCCCCCAAGGGTTGTGTCCTCAGTCCTCTGCTGTACTCCCTGTTAACCCACAACTACGTGGCTTTGCACGACACCAACTCCATCAAGTTTTCTGATGACGCCACGGTTGTAGTTCTGATAACCAACAACGATGAGTCCGCCTATAGGGAGGAGGTAAGTGAACTGTCATTGTGGTGTCATGACGACAACCTCTCCCTCAACGTCAGCAAAACAAAATAGTTTAATTTAGGAAGCAGAGGAGGGAATATGCCACAAGTTTTCAGTTCCTCGGCATCCACATCACTGAGAACTTGTCAAGGACCAACAACACCACCACTGTTGTCAAGAGGGCGCAACAGCGTCTCTACTTTCTAAGGTGGATGAAGAAATTCGGCAGTCCGCCCCTGGTCCTCTCCAAATGCTACCGCTGCACCATTGATAGCATCGTGCCCGCTTGCATCACGGCCTGGTACGGGAGTTGCTCCGTCCACGACTGCAAGGCCCTCAAGCGGGTGGCGAAAACAGCCCAGTACATCAATGGGACCGTTCTCTCACCCATCCAGGACATCTACTCGAAACGGTGCCTGAGGAAGGCAAGCAGCATCAAGGATCCCACACACCCCAGCCACGAGCTGTTGTCTCCCTTACTGTCGGTCAAACGGTATTGGAGCATGAGGTCTGATGCCAACAGGCTCCGAGACAGTTTCTATCTACAAGCCATCAGACTGCTGAACACTTGAATTGGACTGACCACTTGCTCTGATTCTCCGCACCTTAGCACACACCCACACAGACATCCACACACATACACATTCATGCTACATACACATGACAACTGCTGCTACCAGACTCTTATTACAGTGTATTCAGACCCTTTGACTTTTTCCACATTTTGTTACATTACGGCCTTATTCTAAAATTTGATTTAAATTGTTTTTTTCCCCTAATCAATCTACACAATACCCCATAATGACAAGGCAAAACAGGTTTTTAGAAATTGTAGCTAATTTATTACAAATAAACTATCACATTTACATAAGTATTCAGACCCTTTACTCAGTACTTTATTGAAGCACCTTTGGCAGCAACTACAGCCTCGAGTCTTCTTGGGTATGACACTACAAGCTTGGCACACCTGTATTTGGGGAGTTTCTCCCAGTCTTCTCTGCAGATCCTCTCAAGCTCTATCAGGTTGGATGGGGAGCGTCGCTGTACAGCTATTTTCAAGTCTCTCCAGATATGTTTGATCGGGTTCAAGTCCGGGCTCTGGCTGGGCCACTCAAGGACACTCAGAGACTTGTCCCGAAGCCACTCCTGCGTTGTCTTGGCTGTGTGCTTAGGGTCGTTGTCCTGTTGGAAGGTGAACCTTTCCCCAGTCTGAGGTCCTGAGCACTCTGGAGCAAGTTTTCATCAAGGATCTCTCTGTACTTTGCTCATTCACCTTTCTCTCGATCCTGACTAGTCTCCCAGTCCCTGCCGCTGAAAAACATCCCCACAGCATGATGCTGCCACCTCCATGCTTCACCGTAGGGATGGTGCCAGGTTTCCTCCAGATTTGATGCTTGGTATTCAGGCCAATGAGTTCAATCTTGCTTTCATCAGACCAGAGAATCTTGTTCTCATGGTCTGAGAGTCCTTTAGGTGCCTTTTGGCAAACTCCAAGCGGGCTGTCATGTGCCTTTTTACTAAGGAGTGGCTTCCGTCTAGCCAGTCTACCATAATGGCCTGATTGCTGGAGTGCTGCAGAGATGGTTGTCCTTCTGGAAGGTTCTCCCATCTCCACAGAATAACTCTGGAGCTCTGTCAGTGACCATTGGGTTCTTGGTCACCTCCCTGACCAAGGCCCTTCCTCCCCGATTGGTGGTTCCAAACTTCTTCCATTTAAGAATGATGGAGGCCACTGTTCTTGGGGACCTTCAATGCTGCAGCAATTTTTTCCCCCAGATCTGTGCCTCGACACAATCCCGTCTCGGCGCTCTACGGACAATTCCTTCAACCTCATGGCTTGGTTTTTGCTCTGACATGCACTGTCAACTGTGGGACTTTATATAGACCAGTGTGTGTGCCTTTCCAAATCATGTCCAATTAATTGAATTTACCACAGGTGGACTCCAATCAAGTTGTAGAAACATCTCAAGGTTGATCAATGGAAACAAGATGCACCTGAGCTCAATTTTGAGTCTCGTAGCAAAGGGTCTGAATACTTATTTACATAAGGTATTTCTGTTTTCTTCATTTTTTTTAAAATAAATTTGCCAACATTCTAAAATCCTGTTTTCACTTTGTCATTCTGGGGTATTGTGTGTAGATTGAGGGGGGGGGGGGGAATACTTTTCATCCATTTTAGAATAAGGCTGTAATGTAACAAAATGTGGGAAAAGGGAAGGGGTCTGAATAGTTTCCGAATGCACTGTATACTGCAACATTTATACACTTGCCACCCGTCCCCACTTCTCCAATACACATGTACATACAACTAATAAAACTTGAGGTACAAACGTTGTACTTTAAACTTGCGAGTAAAGTCAACTTCGGAGTTAACTGTATCCATCTCCCTGTGGAACTCCCTTGCCTTGCTCAGTAATCAGGTTATTACTACTGCCAGAGCCAGCTAGGCCTAAAAGTTGTAACTCAAAGAAGATTCAAAGTCGGAGCTCGGCTGTATCTCTTTTGAAATGGTCCCACAAGTACACCCCCCTGGACTGAGGCGCAAGTACACCCCCCTGGACTGAGGCGCAAGTACACCCCCCTGGACTGAGGCGCAAGTACACCCCCCTGGACTGAGGCGCAAGTACACCCCCCTGGACTGAGGCGCAAGTACACCCCCCTGGACTGAGGCGCAAGTACACCCCCCTGGACAGGACGCTGGTCTGTCAGAGGGCCTTGCCCTCAACCCATCTCCTTAATGCGGAGGGCCAAAAGGCGATGCATCAGCTCCCATTTTTAGAGTCTTTGGTATGTCTCGACCAGAGATAGAACCCTCAACCTTCCAATCTCAGGGTGGACACACTAACCACTGGGCTACGGATTTAAAAATAAAGGTTAAATACAATTCTGATTTAATTTCTGTTTTTCTCCTCCATCCAACAGGACAGCTAACCTGCCATAGTGGTCATCATGGATCTGTATGACCCTCAGACGCTGGGCATCATGGTATTTGGAGGCTTCATGGTCATCTCAGCCCTCGGTATCGTTCTGGTCTCCACCTTCTCCATGAAGGTAGGCTAACTGTTGTTGGTAATGATAATGTATGCCATTTTAGCAGACGCTTTTATCCAAAGCGACTAATTCACGCGTGCATTACATTTTTCGAATGGGTGGCCCCAGCGGGAATCGAACCCACAACGCTGGCATTGCAAGTACCGTTCTCTACCAACTGAGCCACACTGTTGTTGTTGTTGTTGGGGTGATAATGTCTTATGTGAACGGTTATATGTTGTCTCCTTCTCCATGAAGGAGACCTCGTATGAGGAGGCCCTGGCCAAGCAGCGCAGAGAGTTGGGTAAGATGGCGCCTCCAGGACAGCTGACCAAGAAGGACAAGAAGAAGGAGAAGGTAAGATGAGATCTTACCTCTACCTAAATGTTGACGAGGAGTATGACATGTCTCCTCTCGAACACCCAGGAAGCTCCGACTCGAACTCCCACTAGACCGTTCTGTAGGTGTTAGAATGTCAAAATAAGTTTGTTACACCCACCAAATATTGAGTTTCGATGAGAAACTATCTTCATTTACTCCCGTTACGGCTGGTGTGTCCAAAAAAAGGTGTAAATATACGTTTAGAAGCAGCTCCAATGTAAACCACTCATTATTGCTGCGCACAGGTCTCAAGTCTATAACCGCTCAAGAGATTGTCAATAGCGTCTCGCCGGGGCTGCCGGGCTGCGTGCTACACCACTGCTTATAACTAGAAGTTAACGATCGAAGATGTGTCAAATAAATGATATCCAGCTCAGGACTCCAGCTATGCATTTGTTTGCTAACTCGCTAGCTGGATTTCAAGATTGAGCTTCTTGGTTACAGAAGAGACATTCAGTCACTTCCTGCATCAAGATGTATGTTGCCTAAAATTATTTTTTGTGCACTTCCTGTAAAACTGTATTCCCTGGTATGGTACAGAAACGGTATGACCGTATGAAAATCTGATTACCGATAATGGGGCATGTGTTTTAATGCACATAATGTAGCACATTGTGATTGTTGTATAATAAAAAGTAATACTAAATTAAATGTATTCTTATTATCATTAAGGCGTCTGAGAAGAAGAACCGGGGTAAGAAGAAGGAAGACCAGCCCAATGAGAAGCTGCCAGAATCAGAACGAGAGGATGTCCCAGTGGCCGAGCCTGAACTAACCCCAGAACCATTTACTGCTTCTGCTCCCGAACCAATCCCTGCCCCTGCCCCTGCTCCCACCGCTGTAGAGGCGTCACCTGCCCCTGCTCCAAAGAAGAAGAAGGAGAAGAAGATGGCTAAGGTAGAGCCAGCCCTGGCTGCTCCTGCCCCAGCCCCCATGGCCCCCTCCAAGCCTGCTCCTGCCCCCATTGCCCCCTCCAAGACTGCCCCCATGGCCCCCTCCAAGCCTGCCCCTGCCCCCATGGCCCCCTCCAAGCCTGCCCCCATGGCCCCCTCCAAGCCTGCCCCCATGGCCCCCTCCAAGACTGCCCCCATGGCCCCCTCCAAGACTGCCCCCATGGCCCCCTCCAAGCCTGCCCCAGCCCCCATGGCCCCCTCCAAGCCTGCCCCAGCCCCCATGGCCCCCTCCAAGCCTGCCCCAGCCCCCATGGCCCCCTCCAAGACTGCCCCCATGGCCCCCTCCAAGACTGCCCCAGCCCCCATGGCCCCCTCCAAGCCTGCTCCTGCCCCAGCCCCCATGGCCCCCTCCAAGCCTGCCCCAGTCCTGGTGGCTGTCAACAAGGAGGTCCCTGTGATGGCAGTGCCCCCGGTGGGCTCCCAGCAGACTGCAGCCAAGGCACAGGATCCTTCCAAGAAGAAGGCATCCTCCAAGAAGAAGGCTGAGTCTGGTAAGGAATTTTGTCTATTTTCAATTAATTTCAATCATTTTACATCCTAGTTATTATGTCCCATAACTAGAGCAGCATAACTGTTGATAATACAGCATATGTAGGTTCCATTTCTAACTACTAGGCTATTGGTATAATTTTTGGAATGGATTGAAAATTGAATATGATTTATTTACTCTAAATAAGTTGTTTAGTGTTTATCTAGGATTATAAACTCGGTGGTTCGAGCCCTGAATGCTGATTGGCTGAAAGCCGTGGTATATCAGACCGTATGACAAAACATTTATTTTTACTGCTCTAATTACGTTGGTAACCAGTTTATAATAGCAATACGGCATCTTGGGGGGTTTATGATATATGGCCAATATACCACGGCTAAGGGCTGTATCCAGGCACTCCGCATTGCGTCGTGCCTAAGAACAGCCCTTTAGCTGTGGTATATTGGTCATATATCACACCCCCTCATGCCTTATTGCTTAATTGTAAAATATAGTCTGTATCCTAATCCTATCTGCAGAGAGCCGTATGCTCTACACTGCAGAACATAGCTTAGCTGTTTTCTCATTACGGTGAAGTAGTCTGCTAGTATTATGAACAGTCTATAAATGTTTAAGGTTACATGTTCAAATAGTAAATACTTTTAAAAAAAAATAATAATTATTGACCGCTTTTTATATTTAGTCTGGAAATGAGAATCTTGCAAATGTATAGTATGTTCAATGTCTGTCTGTAGTTGTACATTTCAAGATGCCATTCTTCCTTCTATGGGTCATGTTGTGTGACACAGGGATTGAGGAAACTGCTAGTCAGGATGTTACAAAATATCTCTCTGTTTGAATGGATGGCAGGAACTACTTTAGCCATAACACAAGCAATACTGTAGTACTTCTATGATGCATTTCCTTCTAGACTTACCCCCACACCAAGGTGCCACCAGTGTTTTATGTTAATGTCAGCTCTAGTGTAATTGTCTTTCCACCAGGCGTGTGACACACTAATGACTTGTGGCTAGCAGAATCAACAACCTCTGCATCATTCAAGATGGTTGCTTTGTGAGAAGTTACAATTCAGTTGGCCATTTGTTATGTAAAAGCTGAGGGCTATAGAACAAAGCAGGATCAATGCGTTAGCCAGATAACGTCTCTAAATATTCTGAAATAACGTTTTATTTTGTCAAAATTTGCACTTGAAATGTGCATAGTCTAATTGACTCAACAACCAAAAAAACACATATCTAAGTTTAGATTTCTTAATGAACCAGAAAATCAGCAGTTATTTCTGGTTGTTTATCAAAGTTAGCTGGCTAACTCATTGATCCTGCTTTGTAGTATTCCCCTCTGGTCCGCTGGAGCCATGGCCCAGTGAGACACGGAAACAGAGAAGTCTGAGCCTTTTGGGTAAAGCACTGGGGTAAATCGTCAGTGGAAATGTGCCACTACTGCAACGATGACAAACTGTCTGAGGCGTGTGTGTGTGTGTGTGTGTGTGTGCCCTTGTGCACAGCACTGGCGATGTTGTTAGCTGACATAGCCTCCCAGTAACTCAGACAGTAGGCTGTTTCTCTGGTTTCCAGAGGGCCGTCTCTGACCCGACGCCCACTCAGTCTGGGGTACAGCTGCCCAGTTCCCCCACCCCATGCCCTGCCCCGGGGGCATGGGAATTTACCCACAGCCTTATGATGGCAGACATATTAAGCTTATTAGACATTAGTATTACACATGTTTTGCCCTAATTTATGCCTTTTACCCCTCAAACATCCCACAGAGACAACTTTTTTATTTCTGCAAAATATCAGTCAAACCTAATAAAATACCCAGGGCTGCCCACTAGGGAAGGTCATGGAATTATGGATGACTGTTATTGGTCAGACAAATGACCGCGGTCACCCTTATAATCGTTCCTGACTACATGTGCTGCTGTTGCAGGGTATTTTTGACCTAGGCTGGGGGGGGGGGGGGGGGGGGGGGGGGGGGGGGTTAGGGTTAGGCTTACCAAAGCCTTGTTTCAGCAAGGAGCAACAAAGTCAAAGTTTCATCACGTTGTAAAAGTCCATGTTACCCCGGGACACGGACTCAACCGCATGAATGCACGGCCGACCCGTCTTTCAGTCAGCTGTTCGTTATTTTATTTGTTATAAACAGTTATGACAGTTAATTTATTTTAATGACGGTCTTCATCCATAATTGTCGGTTACACGATTATACAGTAATTGTGCCAGCCCTAGTGCCTGACCCAGATCTAGCCTGCAGGCAGTGCAGGAAGTTCCCTCCCCCTGTTACTAACCCAGCTCTAGCCTGCAGGCAGTGCAGGAAGTTCCCTCCCCCTGTTACTAACCCAGCTCTAGCCTGCAGGCAGTGCAGGAAGTTCCCTCCCCCTGTTACTAACCCAGCTCTAGCCTGCAGGCAGAGCAGGAAGTTCCCTCCCCCTGTTACTAACCCAGCTCTAGCCTGCAGGCAGTGCAGGAAGTTCCCTCCCCCTGTTACTAACCCAGCTCTGGCCTGCAGGCAGTGCAGGAAGTTCCCTCCCCCTGTTAACCCAGCTCTAACCTGCAGGCAGTGCAGGAAGTTCCCTCCCCCTGTTACTAACCCAGCTCTAGCCTGCAGGCAGTGCAGGAAGTTCCCTCCCCCTGTTAACCCAGCTCTAACCTGCAGGCAGTGCAGGAAGTTCCCTCCCCCTGTTACTAACCCAGCTCTAGCCTGCAGGCAGTGCAGGAAGTTCCCTCCCCCTGTTACTAACCCAGCTCTAGCCTGCAGGCAGTGCAGGAAGTTCCCTCCCCCTGTTACTAACCCAGCTCTAGCCTGCAGGCAGTGCAGGAAGTTCCCTCCCCCTGTTACTAACCCAGCTCTAACCTGCAGGCAGTGCAGGAAGTTCCCTCCCCCTGTTTACTAACCCAGCTCTAGCCTGCAGGCAGTGCAGGAAGTTCCCTCCCCCTGTTACTAACCCAGCTCTAGCCTGCAGGCAGTGCAGGAAGTTCCCTCCCCCTGTTACTGACCCAGCTCTGGCCTGCAGGCAGTGCAGGAAGTTCCCTCCCCCTGTTACTAACCCAGCTCTGGCCTGCAGGCAGTGCAGGAAGTTCCCTCCCCCTGTTACTAACCCAGCTCTGGCCTGCAGGCAGTGCAGGAAGTTCCCTCCCCCTGTTACTAACCCAGCTCTAGCCTGCAGGCAGTGCAGGAAGTTCCCTCCCCCTGTTACTAACCCAGCTCTAGCCTGCAGGCAGTGCAGGAAGTTCCCTCCCCCTGTTACTAACCCAGCTCTGGCCTGCAGGCAGTGCAGGAAGTTCCCTCCCCCTGTTACTAACCCAGCTCTGGCCTGCAGGCAGTGCAGGAAGTTCCCTCCCCCTGTTACTAACCCAGCTCTAGCCTGCAGGCAGTGCAGGAAGTTCCCTCCCCCTGTTACTAACCCAGCTCTAGCCTGCAGGCAGTGCAGGAAGTTCCCTCCCCCTGTTACTAACCCAGCTCTGGCCTGCAGGCAGTGCAGGAAGTTCCCTCCCCCTGTTACTAACCCAGCTCTGGCCTGCAGGCAGTGCAGGAAGTTCCCTCCCCCTGTTACTAACCCAGCTCTGGCCTGCAGGCAGTGCAGGAAGTTCCCTCCCCCTGTTACTAACCCAGCTCTAGCCTGCAGGCAGTGCAGGAAGTTCCCTCCCCCTGTTACTAACCCAGCTCTAGCCTGCAGGCAGTGCAGGAAGTTCCCTCCCCCTGTTACTAACCCAGCTCTAGCCTGCAGGCAGTGCAGGAAGTTCCCTCCCCCTGTTACTAACCCAGCTCTAGCCTGCAGGCAGTGCAGGAAGTTCCCTCCCCCTGTTACTAACCCAGCTCTAGCCTGCAGGCAGTGCAGGAAGTTCCCTCCCCCTGTTACTAACCCAGCTCTAGCCTGCAGGCAGTGCAGGAAGTTCCCTCCCCCTGTTACTAACCCAGCTCTAGCCTGCAGGCAGTGCAGGAAGTTCCCTCCCCCTGTTACTAACCCAGCTCTAACCTGCAGGCAGTGCAGGAAGTTCCCTCCCCCTGTTACTAACCCAGCTCTAGCCTGCAGGCAGTGCAGGAAGTTCCCTCCCCCTGTTACTAACCCAGCTCTAGCCTGCAGGCAGTGCAGGAAGTTCCCTCCCCCTGTTACTAACCCAGCTCTAGCCTGCAGGCAGTGCAGGAAGTTCCCTCCCCCTGTTACTAACCCAGCTCTGGCCTGCAGGCAGTGCAGGAAGTTCCCTCCCCCTGTTACTAACCCAGCTCTAGCCTGCAGGCAGTGTGAGAACCCACACTCTTACGATGGCAGACCTATCAGACAGTAGGAATATTCCACGTGACCTTTTACCCCTCAATTTACCACAGACACCTAAGTTCTGCCAACATTGGTGAGAGCTTTTTTTCAGTAAGGAAATGGGGAAGGATGTCAGGTCTGTCTTCATTGTTTTAGGACTTAGGCTTAATGTGTGTTTTCATTGGTGGTAAGAGAATGTGATGATGTGTCTTCTCCTTGGCTGTAGCAGCATCTGACCTGTAAGAACATGTGTATCCCCATTTCTCTCTTTCGCTCTCTCTCCCCCTCTTTTTCTCACTCTCTTTCGCTCTCTCTCTCTCTCTCTCCCCCTCTTTTTCTCTCTCTCTCTCTCTCTCTCTCTCTCTCTCTCTCTCTCTCTCTCCTCTCTCTCCTCCTCTCTCTCTCTCTCTCTCTCTCTCTCTCTCTCTCTCTCTCTCTCTCTCTCCTCTCTCTCTCTCTCTCTCTCTCTCTCTCTCTCTCTCTCTCTGTAGTGGTGGAGTCTGGTGTGGATTCCCCCCTGTACCTGCCCTATAAAGCCCTGGTCTCTACTGTAAGCAGTATGGTCTTCAGGCAGGGAGAGGCCCAGCGCCTTCTAGACATCCTCTCTGACAAGGCTGGCATCAGACAAGACACCTGGCACATGGTAGGACCGTGGGTGTGGGGGGGATTATATGACCCGGGATGGGAGATACCACTGTGCGGTTGAAGGGGGGTTGACACATGTCAGGCTTGGAGTGGCGGGGTAGGGAATCTGGCAGGACACCTGGCACATGGTACAATCCGGTCGGGGACTGGGAGACGTCTTTCAAAGGGGTTGGAGCTGGGGTGGTATGGGACGGGACACAAACACATTGTCGGCGGCAGGTAGCCTAACGGTTAAGAGCGTTGGGCCAGTAACCGAAAGTTTGCTGGTTGCGAATCTCTGAGCCGACTAGGTGAAAAATCTGTCTGTGCCTTTGAGCAAGGCACTTAACCCTAATTTGCATCTGCTAAATGACTAAAATACTGTATAAATGCATGAGCAGGGGGGGCCATTGGTCAGACAGACTCTCACACTGCAGATGCTGATGTTTATGGTGACACTGTGTGTGTGTGTGCTACTCAGGCTACTCAGAAGGGCGACCCGGTGGCTATGATGAAGAGACAGTTGGAGGAGAATCAGAAACAGCTGGCCAATCAGCAGGAGGATGCTACTGCAGCCAAAAACAGACTCAGAGAAATCAGCAGGGTAACACACCACACACACACCACACACACACACACACACCACACACACACACACACACACACCACACACACACTGAGCAAGGGGACGCCACAACCGCCAAGAACATACTCTGAGAACTCAGCAGGGGAACACACAGACACAAAGGTAAAACACACACTTACACACATTGAGAATATCTCTGAAAGACTGCTTATTTAGCAACATACAATAGAACTCCCCATGGATGAGTTGGACCACTGTTTCTCTCTATAGGAGCTGTCTGACAGTGTGGTGTCTCTCTCTATAGGAGCTGTCTGACAGTGTGGTGTCTCTCTCTCTATAGGAGCTGTCTGACAGTGTGGTCTCTCTCTCTATAGAAGCTGTCTGACAGTGTGGTGTCTCTCTCTCTATAGGAGCTGTCTGACAGTGTGGTGTCTCTCTATAGGAGATGTCTGACAGTGTGGTGTCTCTCTCTATAGGAGCTGTCTGACAGTGTGGTGTCTCTCTCTATAGGAGCTGTCTGACAGTGTGGTCTCTCTCTATAGGAGCTGTCTGACAGTGTGGTGTCTCTCTCTCTCTATAGGAGCTGTCTGACAGTGTGGTGTCTCTCTCTCTATAGGAGCTGTCTGACAGTGTGGTGTCTCTCTCTCTATAGGAGCTGTCTGACAGTGTGGTGTCTCTCTCTATAGGAGCTGTCTGACAGTGTGGTGTCTCTCTCTCTATAGGAGCTGTCTGACAGTGTGGTGTCTCTCTCTCTCTATAGGAGCTGTCTGACAGTGTGGTGTCTCTCTCTATAGGAGCTGTCTGACAGTGTGGTGTCTCTCTCTCTATAGGAGCTGTCTGACAGTGTGGTGTCTCTCTCTATAGGAGCTGTCTGACAGTGTGGTGTCTCTCTCTCTATAGGAGCTGTCTGACAGTGTGGTGTCTCTCTCTCTATAGGTGCTGTCTGACAGTGTGGTGTCTCTCTCTCTATAGGAGCTGTCTGACAGTGTGGTGTCTCTCTATAGGAGATGTCTGACAGTGTGGTGTCTCTCTCTATAGGAGCTGTCTGACAGTGTGGTGTCTCTCTCTATAGGAGCTGTCTGACAGTGTGGTCTCTCTCTATAGGAGCTGTCTGACAGTGTGGTGTCTCTCTATAGGAGCTGTCTGACAGTGTGGTGTCTCTCTCTCTATAGGAGCTGTCTGACAGTGTGGTGTCTCTCTCTCTATAGGAGCTGTCTGACAGTGTGGTGTCTCTCTCTCTATAGGAGCTGTCTGACAGTGTGGTGTCTCTCTCTCTATAGGAGCTGTCTGACAGTGTGGTGTCTCTCTCTCTATAGGAGCTGTCTGACAGTGTGGTGTCTCTCTCTCTATAGGAGCTGTCTGACAGTGTGGTGTCTCTCTCTCTATAGGAGCTGTCTGACAGTGTGGTGTCTCTCTCTCTATAGGAGCTGTCTGACAGTGTGGTGTCTCTCTCTATAGGAGATGTCTGACAGTGTGGTGTCTCTCTCTCTATAGGAGCTGTCTGACAGTGTGGTGTCTCTCTCTATAGGAGCTGTCTGACAGTGTGGGTGTCTCTCTCTCTATAGGAGATGTTGACAGTGTGGTTGTCTCTCTCTAATAGAGCTGTCTGACAGTGTGGTGTCTCTCTCTCTATAGAGCTGTCTGACAGTGTGGTGGTCTCTCTCTCTATAGGAGCTGTCTGACAGTGTGGTGTCTCTCTCTCTATAGGAGCTGTCTGACAGTTGGTGTCTCTCTCTATAGGAGATGTCTGACAGTGTGGGTGTCTCTCTCTATAGGAAGCTGTCTGACAGTTGTGTGTCTCTCTCTATAGGAGCTGTCTGACAGTGTGGTGTCCTCTCTCTAAGGAGATGTCCTGACAGTGTGGTGTCTCTCTCTCTATAGGAGCTGTCTGACAGTGTGGTGTCTCTCTCTATAGGAGCTGTCTGACAGTGTGGTGTCTCTCTCTATAGGAGCTGTCTGACAGTGTGGTGTCTCTCTCTATAGGAGCTGTCTGACAGTGTGGTGTCTCTCTCTATAGGAGCTGTCTGACAGTGTGGTGTCTCTCTCTCTATAGGAGCTGTCTGACAGTGTGGCGTCTCTCTCCTCTCTATAGGAGCTGTTGGCTGAGAAGTCGAAGGTGGCCAGTGTGGAGACCAGGTTGAGTTCCCAGCTCTCGTCCAGGGAGCAGGAGATGATTGCCCTGCAGGCTCGTATGCAGGCCTCCTACCAGGACCACGTAGCCCAGACACAGAAACTCAACGCCAAGGTACTGATGTACATGAGAATAGGACCAGGACAGTCTGTCCGTGTCGGCCTCTGTCCGTGTCGGCCTCTGTCCGTGTCGGCCTCTGTCCGTGTCGGCCTCTGTCCGTGTCGGCCTCTGTCCGTGTCGGCCTCTGTGCCTTTCTCTCAGTTGAATTGAATGTGCTTTATTGGATTTAAATTAATTATGTAAAGATTGCCACAGCATTCAAAAAGTAAGTCCAAAGTGAAATCCCCTCCTCTCAGGTCCTCGGTCTTCAGGAGCAGTTGGAGTCTGGTCCCACCGCCCAGCTGGCTCGTCTGCAGCAAGAGAACTCTATTCTCAGAGACGCCCTGAACCAGGCCACCAGCCAGGCAGAGAGCAAGTAGGTGTCTGCTCCTACCCTAAACCCAAACCCTAAACCAGGCCACCAGCCAGGCAGAGAGCAAGTAGGTGTCTGCTCCTACCCTAAACCCAAACCCTAAACCAGGCCACCAGCCAGGCAGAGAGCAAGTAGGTGTCTGCTCCTACCCTAAACCCTAACCCCTAACCCTAAACCAGGCCACCAGCCAGGCAGAGAGCAAGTAGGTGTCTGCTCCTACCCTAAACCGTAACCCCTAACCCTAAACCAGGCCACCAGCCAGGCAGAGAGCAAGTAGGTGTCTGCTCCTACCCTAAACCCTAACCCCTAACCCTGAACCAGGCCACCAGCCAGGCAGAGAGCAAGTAGGTGTCTGCTCCTACCCTAAACCCTAACCCCTAACCCTGAACCAGGCCACCAGCCAGGCAGAGAGCAAGTAGGTGTCTGCTCCTACCCTAAACCCTAACCCCTAACCCTAAACCAGGCCACCAGCCAGGCAGAGAGCAAGTAGGTGTCTGCTCCTACCCTAAACCGTAACCCCTAACCCTAAACCAGGCAACCAGCCAGGCAGAGAGCAAGTAGGTGTCTGCTCCTACCCTAAACCGTAACCCCTAACCCTAAACCAGGCAACCAGCCAGGCAGAGAGCAAGTAGGTGTCTGCTCCTACCCTAAACCCAAACCCTAAACCAGGCCACCAGCCAGGCAGAGAGCAAGTAGGTGTCTGCTCCTACCCTAAACCCTAACCCCTAACCCTGAACCAGGCCACCAGCCAGGCAGAGAGCAAGTAGGTGTCTGCTCCTACCCTAAACCCTAACCCCTAACCCTGAACCAGGCCACCAGCCAGGCAGAGAGCAAGTAGGTGTCTGCTCCTACCCTAAACCCTAACCCCTAACCCTAAACCAGGCAACCAGCCAGGCAGAGAGCAAGTAGGTGTCTGCTCCTACCCTAAACCGTAACCCCTAACCCTAAACCAGGCAACCAGCCAGGCAGAGAGCAAGTAGGTGTCTGCTCCTACCCTAAACCCAAACCCTAAACCAGGCCACCAGCCAGGCAGAGAGCAAGTAGGTGTCTGCTCCTACCCTAAACCCTAACCCCTAACCCTGAACCAGGCCACCAGCCAGGCAGAGAGCAAGTAGGTGTCTGCTCCTACCCTAAACCCTAACCCCTAACCCTGAACCAGGCCACCAGCCAGGCAGAGAGCAAGTAGGTGTCTGCTCCTACCCTAAACCCTAACCCCTAACCCTAAACCAGGCCACCAGCCAGGCAGAGAGCAAGTAGGTGTCTGCTCCTACCCTAAACCGTAACCCCTAACCCTAAACCAGGCAACCAGCCAGGCAGAGAGCAAGTAGGTGTCTGCTCCTACCCTAAACCGTAACCCCTAACCCTAAACCAGGCAACCAGCCAGGCAGAGAGCAAGTAGGTGTCTGCTCCTACCCTAAACCCAAACCCTAAACCAGGCCACCAGCCAGGCAGAGAGCAAGTAGGTGTCTGCTCCTACCCTAAACCCTAACCCCTAACCCTGAACCAGGCCACCAGCCAGGCAGAGAGCAAGTAGGTGTCTGCTCCTACCCTAAACCCTAACCCCTAACCCTGAACCAGGCCACCAGCCAGGCAGAGAGCAAGTAGGTGTCTGCTCCTACCCTAAACCCTAACCCCTAACCCTAAACCAGGCAACCAGCCAGGCAGAGAGCAAGTAGGTGTCTGCTCCTACCCTAAACCGTAACCCCTAACCCTAAACCAGGCAACCAGCCAGGCAGAGAGCAAGTAGGTGTCTGCTCCTACCCTAAACCCAAACCCTAAACCAGGCCACCAGCCAGGCAGAGAGCAAGTAGGTGTCTGCTCCTACCCTAAACCCTAACCCCTAACCCTGAACCAGGCCACCAGCCAGGCAGAGAGCAAGTAGGTGTCTGCTCCTACCCTAAACCCTAACCCCTAACCCTGAACCAGGCCACCAGCCAGGCAGAGAGCAAGTAGGTGTCTGCTCCTACCCTAAACCCTAACCCTAAACCAGGCCACCAGCCAGGCAGAGAGCAAGTAGGTGTCTGCTCCTACCCTAAACCCTAACCCCTAACCCTAAACCAGGCCACCAGCCAGGCAGAGAGCAAGTAGGTGTCTGCTCCTACCCTAAACCCTAACCCCTAACCCTGAACCAGGCCACCAGCCAGGCAGAGAGCAAGTAGGTGTCTGCTCCTACCCTAAACCCAAACCCTAAACCAGGCCACCAGCCAGGCAGAGAGCAAGTAGGTGTCTGCTCCTACCCTAAACCCTAACCCCTAACCCTGAACCAGGCCACCAGCCAGGCAGAGAGCAAGTAGGTGTCTGCTCCTACCCTAAACCCTAACCCCTAACCCTGAACCAGGCCACCAGCCAGGCAGAGAGCAAGTAGGTGTCTGCTCCTACCCTAAACCCTAACCCCTAACCCTAAACCAGGCCACCAGCCAGGCAGAGAGCAAGTAGGTGTCTGCTCCTACCCTAAACCCAAACCCTAAACCAGGCCACCAGCCAGGCAGAGAGCAAGTAGGTGTCTGCTCCTACCCTAAACCCTAACCCCTAACCCTGAACCAGGCCACCAGCCAGGCAGAGAGCAAGTAGGTGTCTGCTCCTACCCTAAACCCTAACCCCTAACCCTAAACCAGGCCACCAGCCAGGCAGAGAGCAAGTAGGTGTCTGCTCCTACCCTAAACCGTAACCCCTAACCCTAAACCAGGCAACCAGCCAGGCAGAGAGCAAGTAGGTGTCTGCTCCTACCCTAAACCGTAACCCCTAACCCTAAACCAGGCAACCAGCCAGGCAGAGAGCAAGTAGGTGTCTGCTCCTACCCTAAACCCAAACCCTAAACCAGGCCACCAGCCAGGCAGAGAGCAAGTAGGTGTCTGCTCCTACCCTAAACCCTAACCCCTAAACCAGGCCACCAGCCAGGCAGAGAGCAAGTAGGTGTCTGCTCCTACCCTAAACCCTAACCCCTAACCCTGAACCAGGCCACCAGCCAGGCAGAGAGCAAGTAGGTGTCTGCTCCTACCCTAAACCCAAACCCTAAACCAGGCCACCAGCCAGGCAGAGAGCAAGTAGGTGTCTGCTCCTACCCTAAACCCAAACCCTAAACCAGGCTACCAGCCAGGCAGAGAGCAAGTAGGTGTCTGCTCCTACCCTAAACCCTAACCCCTAACCCTAAACCAGGCCACCAGCCAGGCAGAGAGCAAGTAGGTGTCTGCTCCTACCCTAAACCCTAACCCTAAACCAGGCCACCAGCCAGGCAGAGAGCAAGTAGGTGTCTGCTCCTACCCTAAACCCTAACCCCTAACCCTAAACCAGGCCACCAGCCAGGCAGAGAGCAAGTAGGTGTCTGCTCCTACCCTAAACCGTAACCCCTAACCCTAAACCAGGCCACCAGCCAGGCAGAGAGCAAGTAGGTGTCTGCTCCTACCCTAAACCGTAACCCCTAACCCTAAACCAGGCCACCAGCCAGGCAGAGAGCAAGTAGGTGTCTGCTCCTACCCTAAACCCTAACCCCTAACCCTAAACCAGGCCACCAGCCAGGCAGAGAGCAAGTAGGTGTCTACTCCTACCCTAAACCCTAACCCTTAACCCTAAACCAGGCCACCAGCCAGGCAGAGAGCAAGTAGGTGTCTGCTCCTACCCTAAACCCTAAACCCAAACCCTAAACCAGGCCACCAGCCAAGCAGAGAGCAAGTAGGTGTCTGCTCCTACCCTAAACCCTAAACCCAAACCCTAAACCAGGCCACCAGCCAGGCAGAGAGCAAGTAGGTGTCTGCTCCTACCCTAAACCCTAACCCCTAACCCTAAACCAGGCCACCAGCCAGGCAGAGAGCAAGTAGGTGTCTGCTCCTACCCTAAACCCTAACCCCTAACCCTGAACCAGGCCACCAGCCAGGCAGAGAGCAAGTAGGTGTCTGCTCCTACCCTAAACCCAAACCCTAAACCAGGCCACCAGCCAGGCAGAGAGCAAGTAGGTGTCTGCTCCTACCCTAAACCCAAGCCCTAAACCAGGCTACCAGCCAGGCAGAGAGCAAGTAGGTGTCTGCTCCTACCCTGAACACTAACCCTAACCCCTGAACCAGGCCACCAGCCAGACAGCAAGTAGGTGGCTCTCCCTGTCCTTTGTCTCAGCCCCTAAATGTTTTAGCATTTGCCACTATGAAAAATAAGTTTCAGAATAAGCCAGAATCTGGTGTTTTGAGAGTGGAAATGGAACTGCAGATCAAATGCATTATGTTCTAGGTCTAGGATTACTAGGGTGAAGCCTACTGTGGGTTGAGGTATCTACTGTGAAGTCTACTGTGGGTTGAGGTGTCTACTGTGAAGTCTACTGTGGGTTGAGGTGTCTACTGTGAAGTCTACTGTGGGTTGAGGTATCTACTGTGAAGTCTACTGTGGGTTGAGGTGTCTACTGTGGGTTGAGGTGTCTACTGTGAAGTCTACTGTGGGTTGAGGTATCTACTGTGGGTTGAGGTATCTACTGTGAAGTCTACTGTGGGTTGAGGTGTACTGTGAAGTCTACTGTGGGTTGAGGTGTCTACTGTGAAGTCTACTGTGGGTTGAGGTGTCTACTGTGAAGTCTACTGTGGGTTGAGGTGTCTACTGTGAAGTCTACTGTGGGTTGAGGTATCTACTGTGAAGTCTACTGTGGGTTGAGGTGTCTACTGTGGGTTGAGGTATCTACTGTGAAGTCTACTGTGGGTTGAGGTGTCTACTGTGAAGTCTACTGTGGGTTGAGGTGTCTACTGTGAAGTCTACTGTGGGTTGAGGTGTCTACTGTGAAGTCTACTGTGGGTTGAGGTGTCTACTGTGGGTTGAGGTATCTACTGTGAAGTCTACTGTGGGTTGAGGTGTCTACTGTGAAGTCTACTGTGGGTTGAGGTGTCTACTGTGGGTTGAGGTATCTACTGTGAAGTCTACTGTGGGTTGAGGTGTCTACTGTGAAGTCTACTGTGGGTTGAGGTGTCTACTGTGACGTCTACTGTGGGTTGAGGTATCTACTCTTCTCTTCCCACTGTGCGAAAAACAAAACAATACCTGCACTTGTCTTTTTTCCTAGTAGCACTGACTTTTCTGATAAATACTTTATTGAGGGAAAATGTACTTGCTACTACTGTGATATGTGGTTGTCTCACCTAGATATCTTAAGATGAATGCACTAACTCTTCGTTGCTCTGAGTAAGAGCATCTGCTAAATGACTCAAATGTAAAATATCTATTCTCAGACAGAATGCAGAGCTGACCAAGCTGAGACAGGACTGTGCCAGACTAACCAAGGAGCTGGGGGAGAAGAGCGAGAGCCTTCAGGCTGATGAGAACATCAAGAGAGGGCTGGAGGCTAAGGTGTCTTCTGTAGAGAAACAACTGTCTTTACTACAGGTAGGACTGGTGTCTTCTGTAGAGAAACAACTGTCTTTACTACAGGTAGGACTGGTGTCTTCTGTAGAGAAACAACTGTCTTTACTACAGGTAGGACTGGTGTCTTCTGTAGAGAAACAACTGTCTTTACTACAGGTAGGACTGGTGTCTTCTGTAGAGAAACAACTGTCTTTACTACAGGCAGGACTGGTGTCTTCTGTAGAGAAACAACTGTCTTTACTACAGGCAGGACTGGTGTCTCCTGTAGAGAAACAACTGTCTTTACTACAGGCAGGACTGGTGTCTCCTGTAGAGAAACAACTGTCTTTACTACAGGCAGGACTGGTGTCTCCTGTAGAGAAACAACTGTCTTTACTACAGGCAGGACTGGTGTCTTCTGTAGAGAAAACAACTGTCTTTACTACAGGCAGGACTGGTGTCTCCTGTAGAGAAACAACTGTCTTTACTACAGGCAGGACTGGTGTCTCCTGTAGAGAAACAACTGTCTTTACTACAGGCAGGACTGGTGTCTCCTGTAGAGAAACAACTGTCTTTACTACAGGCAGGACTGGTGTCTTCCTGTAGAGAAACAACTGTCTTTACTACAGGCAGGGACTGGTGTCTCCTGTAGAGAAACAAACTGTCTTTACTACAGGCAGGACTGGTGTCTTCTGTAGAGAAACAACTGTCTTTACAACAGGCAGGACTGGTGTCTTCTGTAGAGAAAACTGTCTTTACTACAGGCAGGACTGGTGTCTTCTGTAGAGAGAACTGTCTTTACAACAGGCATGACTGGTGTCTCCTGTAGAGAAAACTGTCTTTACTACAGGCAGGACTGGTGTCTTCTGTAGAGAAAACTGTCTTTACAACAGGCAGGACTGGTGTCTTCTGTAGAGAAAACTGTCTTTACAACAGGCAGGACTGGTGTCTCCTGTAGAGAAAACTGTCTTTACTACAGGTAGGACTGGTGTCTTCTGTAGAGAAACGACTGTCTTTACTACAGGCAGGACTGGTGTCTTCTGTAGAGAAACGACTGTCTTTACTACAGGCAGGACTGGTGTCTTCTGTAGAGAAACGACTGTCTTTACTACAGGCAGGACTGGTGTCTCCTGTAGAGAAACAACTGTCTTTACTACAGGCAGGACTGGTGTCTTCTGTAGAGAAACAACTGTCTTTACAACAGGCATGACTGGTGTCTCCTGTAGAGAAAACTGTCTTTACTACAGGCAGGACTGGTGTCTTCTGTAGAGAAAACTGTCTTTACAACAGGCAGGACTGGTGTCTTCTGTAGAGAAAACTGTCTTTACAACAGGCAGGACTGGTGTCTCCTGTAGAGAAAACTGTCTTTACTACAGGTAGGACTGGTGTCTTCTGTAGAGAAACGACTGTCTTTACTACAGGCAGGACTGGTGTCTTCTGTAGAGAAACGACTGTCTTTACTACAGGCAGGACTGGTGTCTTCTGTAGAGAAACGACTGTCTTTACTACAGGCAGGACTGGTGTCTCCTGTAGAGAAACAACTGTCTTTACTACAGGCAGGACTGGTGTCTTCTGTAGAGAAACAACTGTCTTTACAACAGGCAGGACTGGTGTCTTCTGTAGAGAAAACTGTCTTTACTACAGGCAGGACTGGTGTCTTCTGTAGAGAAAACTGTCTTTACAACAGGCAGGACTGGTGTCTCCTGTAGAGAAAACTGTCTTTACTACAGGCAGGACTGGTGTCTCCTGTAGAGAAAACTGTCTTTACTACAGGTAGGACTGGTGTCTCCTGTAGAGAAACAACTGTCTTTACTACAGGCAGGACTGGTGTCTCCTGTAGAGAAACAACTGTCTTTACTACAGGTAGGACTGGTGTCTCCTGTAGAGAAACAACTGTCTTTACTACAGGTAGGACTGGTGTCTCCTGTAGAGAAACAACTGTCTTTACTACAGGCAGGACTGGTGTCTTCTGTAGAGAAACAACTGTCTTTACAACAGGCAGGACTGTTGTCTTCTGTAGAGAAAACTGTCTTTACTACAGGCAGGACTGGTGTCTTCTGTAGAGAAAACTGTCTTTACAACAGGCAGGACTGGTGTCTCCTGTAGAGAAAACTGTCTTTACTACAGGCAGGACTGGTGTCTTCTGTAGAGAAAACTGTCTTTACAACAGGCAGGACTGGTGTCTCCTGTAGAGAAAACTGTCTTTACTACAGGCAGGACTGGTGTCTCCTGTAGAGAAACAACTGTCTTTACAACAGGCAGGACTGGTGTCTTCTGTAGAGAAAACTGTCTTTACTACAGGCAGGACTGGTGTCTCCTGTAGAGAAAACTGTCTTTACAACAGGCAGGACTGGTGTCTCCTGTAGAGAAAACTGTCTTTACTACAGGCAGGACTGGAGAGAGCACACACACGGTCAGACTGATGACAACATCTGGAGAGTGGGCTGGAGGCTGGCAGTTTGCTGAGAGCCTCGTCTGGTCCCCCCCCCCAAGGCACTGCATCGCAGTGCTAACTGTGCCACTAGAGATCCTGGTTCGAATCCAGGCTCTGTCGCCGCCGGCCACGACCGGGAGACTCATGGGTGGCGCAGGGTAGGGGAGGGAATGGCCGGCAGGGATGTAGCTCAGTTGATAGAGCATGGCGTTTGCAACGCCAGGGTTGTGGGTTCGATTCCCACGGGGGGCCAGTATAAAAAAAAATGTATTCACTAACTGTAAGTCGCTCTGGATAAGAGCGTCTGCTAAATGACTAAAATGTATGTAAATGTAAAATGAGGGCTGGAGTCTAAACTACTCCAATTCTGTGACTCTCAATTGATCACCCTATTGTCATCAAAGTACTCTCGCTCTGTCAATTCTATTCACGTCTCTTTCTTTCTCTCTCGCTCTGCCTCTCTTTCTCTCTCTCAACCCTTATCTACTGGCTGGTTCCCCCCCCCTCTAAACCCGTATCTATCGGCTGGGCCCCCTCACCCCTCCAAAGCGCCGGTGATTGGGGCTGGATCTCTGATGGGGTTTGTAATCACAGAGCTGTGTGTTGGACTGGAATGCAACCACACAATAATGGGGGGCTGGCTGCTGGCTGTAAGGGAAATGCTTTTCTCTCTCAGCACCAGATGGAATGTGTGCTACGTGCCCAAGCAAAGCAGGACTCCATTCTGCATAAGCTGTCTGCAAAATGGCCGTCATCTAGTGGAACTGACTGTATACTGTACATCAGACTGTTTGCTATATGGAATCTACTATGACTGATACTACTACTACTACTGTTACTACGGCTACTACTACTGTTACTACGGCTACTACTACTACTGCGAAGACTGCCACTACTGCGGCGAATACGACTAATACTATTACTAGACTCATACAGCAGGGTTAGTTCTTGGCTCCATTCTTGACATTTGCACCTTCCTGCCCTGCACAGTGTTTAAAATGCTAGCACACCCAGCTGTTTTTAGTACGTTAGCTACATTCTAATGGAATGCTGTTTTGTGTGTGTTATCATGGAATGTGGGGAGTGAGTCGGTCCTTTACTTCCTGATAGTGAAGACTTCATGTTATAATAATAATAATAATATAATATGCCATTTAGCAGACGCTTTTATCCAAAGCGACTTACAGTCATGCGTGCATACATTTTTGTGTATGGGTGGTCCCGGGGATCGAACCCACTACCTTGGCGTTACAAGCGCCGTGCTCTACCAGCTGAGCTACAGAGGACCACATGTTGTTTAATCATTTTAACTATGACCTCTTCCTGGACCAGTCCTGAAGTTTATCATCCGAATGTAATAAAAGTGCCTATTAGTGAATGTAGACGTCCCAGGCTCTTTACGCTGTGTCAGTATCGTTACACGCCGACTGCGTCCGCCATCGCAAGCATGTTGATTTTGTCCATCTGCCCCAGACGCGATCAGGACACGCAGGTTGAAATATCAAAACCAACTCTGAACCAACTATATTAACTTGGGGACCGGTCGAAACGCATTAAACATTCATGGAAATGTAGCTAGCTAGCTTGCTGTTGCTAGCTAATTTGTCCTGGGATATAAACATTGGGTTGTTATATTACCCGAAATGCACAAGGTCCTCTACTCCGACAATTAATCCACAGGTAAAAGGGTAAACCTAGTTAATTTCTAGTAATCTCTCCTCCTTCAGTCTTCTTCTTTGGACATAATATATATATGGCAGTTGGCAACCAACTTTAAGGTGCATTACCACCACCAACTGGACTGGAGTGTGGACTGCAGTTCATCTTTCAATCACCCACGTGGGTATATGTTGCTAAAAACCAATGAGGAGATGGGAGCGGCGGAACTTGCAGCGCGTCAAGTGTCACAAATGGAACCAAGTTCTATTTTAGGGCCTGACTACGCAGATGATCGTCGACGCGCGCGCGAGCAGTTTGGATGAAATAATTTGAATGACGTATGTGTACATTTTATGTTGCAACGCTCGCGCACGTAACGTGAGCAGTGTGGTTAGCGTCTGTGTTGCTCTGTCTCACTCCTCAGTTTTATAGTTCATACTAACTCTGTAGCTGGATAATGTAGTAGAGAAATTATATTTATCCTCTGCTGCCCTCTGGTGGTGAGTAACAGTGCCCCCTGCTTCCATAATCATGCCAGCCATGCAGATAGCGAGACCATAACAAATAGAGGCTCAGCCGGTACAGATTGGCAACGCCAAGGGTCGTGCGTTCGATTCCCGCCGTGACCACCCATATGTAAAAATGTATGCACACATGACGACTATAAGTTGCTTTTGGAGAAAAATATTCTGCTAAATGGCATATTGTGGATGGATGAATGTCATAACTTACCCTGAGCATGCTGTCACACTGCAGTATCACAGAATACTATCTATCTGTCTATCAGGCCAGTCATGCTGAGAGTGAGCAGATGCTGCAGAGGAGGCTGGAGGAAGTCAGTGAGGAGTTGAGGAGTTCTCAGAGCACCCTGGAGAAAGCCCAGCAGGACGCTACAACCCTCGCAGGTAAAACATTATTCACGTTTCGGCCATGTTTCTTGGAATTCCAGTGAGCTGACGGGGCATGAAGCGAAAGTCCTCCGTTTTGGAAGTCCATGTAAACTCGTGCTGAAACTTTCCTCAAGTTCAACCTTTTAAAAAATGCACTTGGATGATTGATAAACCGACCAACAGAACAAATCAGAGTACGTATAATCACGTTATTTTTAACTGACAAATTTAACCTACGTTATTTTATTCTTTAAAATTGCAGGTGAATAAGGACTTTTGACTACTGATTAAACAATGCTGATAGTTTGTAGTGCTGTCTGCTATCCCTCCAGACCTCCAGGTCCACCTGGGCAGTGTAGAGGCTGATCTGAAGGAGCGTAGTGCCCAGGTGGAGGCCCTCACAGCCCAGCTGGAGCAGACAGAGCTGGAGAAGGGACAACTGGAGGACCAGGTGGGATCCATTAATGTACTTCTAGAGGCCAGCCACAACAGAGAGGAGAATGAGGACATGGAGGTGAGTTATCAGATTATATTATGTTAATGAGGACATGGAGGTGAGTTATCAGATCAGATGATATTTTAATGAGGACATGGAGGTGGGTTATCAGATCAGATGATATTAATGAGGACATGGAGGTGGGTTATCAGATCAGATGATATTAATGAGGACATGGAGGTGGGTTATCAGATCAGATGATATTAATGAGGACATGGAGGTGGGTTATCAGATCAGATGATATTAATGAGGACATGGAGGTGGGTTATCAGATCAGATGATATTAATGAGGACATGGAGGTGGGTTATCAGATCAGATGATATTAATGAGGACATGGAGGTGGGTTATCAGATCAGATGATATTAATGAGGACATGGAGGTGGGTTGTCAGATTAGATGATATTAATGAGATCATGGAGGTGAGTTATCAGATTAGATTAGATTAGATTATATGATATTATGGGGCGGGTAGGAGCCTAGACCTGCGCGAGCCAGTGCTTAGTAGTGCCAGAGAGGTTTAAAACCCAGAGACTCGACATGCGATTACTTCCTATAAACACCCAGGATGAAGACTCAGAGCACCGTCAATGGGAGAGTGGCAAATTTGTTCACAAAGTATTTGCAGGAGGTAATCAATCACAAGTTGAGTATCTGTTTCCAAACCTCTCTGGTGCTAGTTAGCATGGGCTTGTCCCGAGATGGTGTATTGGTGGAAACTATGTTATTGACTGTTCTTTTGGGTCGATTTCTAAGGATGTCTGAATTGATGTTTGTTTATGTTTTGTAGGAAAACTCCACTGAGTTGGAACGGCTAAAGATGAGGTACCTTCTGATCTGTCCCTCATAATTCTCTCTATATAGATGTAGAGTTGATATTTTCTCAACAACGCCAATCATTTTCTCTTCCAGTCTTCAAGACCGAGACATTCAGCTGGCGTCACTCCAAGAGGAGCTGAAGCAGCTCAAAGAAATGAAACAGGAGGCAGCTATAACTGCCGTAAGTATCTCAACTCTGAGACAAAATCTCTGTTCTGTTGTCACTTTGCTAGTGGGAAGGCCATGGTCCATGGCTAGCTGAATCAGTTCTTTTTCTATTGATTCACTAACTGAATCGGTTATTTCTGTATTGATTCACTAACTGAATCAGTTATTTCTCTATTGATTCACTAACTGAATCGGTTATTTCTGTATTAATTCATTAACTGAATCAGTTATTTCTCTATTGATTCACTAACTGAATCGGTTATTTCTGTATTAATTCACTAACTGAATCAGTTATTTCTGTATTAATTCACTAACTGAATCGGTTATTTCTGTATTCATTCACTAACTGAATCGGTTATTTCTGTATTCATTCACCAACTGAATCGGTTATTTCTGTATTAATTCACTAACTGAATCGGTTATTTCTCTATTGATTTCCTAGCTGATAAAACATATTATTTAGACCTGTCTAGGCAGAATTGTGTCCGTTGGGAAGAGACCTCTTGTTTCCAAAGAAGGGTATTGAGAAAACCATAGATTTGATCTTTCTAATGATCTTCTCACTCTGTCGCGACAGGAGGTCACTACAACTGAGCCCGAGCAGGATCATAACTGGTACGTCTAGTCCACCTCCACCTGTGTATATATCATCCATTTGAATCAGTCCCCAGCTTTGTTTAATTCTGGCTATTATGTACCTGAACATTCTCGTATGTATCTTTTTTAATTTTATTTTAGTGAGGACAGAAGCCTGGTGGCATCACTTCAGGAAGAACTGAAGCAGCTTAGAGAAGAGATGGAACAACTACTAAACTCTCCCGTAGCTCCCCCAAGTTTCATCGAACTAAAAGCGGTACGTTTCTGTATTTAAACGACAGTTTTTCCATGATGAATATTGACATGTTCTCATGGTTAACTTGGGGCGGCATGTAGTCCAGTGGCTAGAGGGGTGAGCCAGCAACCAGAAGGTTGCCAGTTCGAAAAACATTGGTTTTCGAAAAATATCTGGATGGATGTGAGCTGGCAACCGAAGGGTTGCTGATATCAAATCCTAGATGCCATTGCCTGCCATTATGCCCTTGAGCAAGGCACTTTACCCCCCCACAACAACTACTCCACGGCGCCCAGTGTGGCAGTCCCCTGCTCCAACCTGTGTGTGTATATATACATACATGTGTGTGTGTGTGTGTGTGTGTGTGTGTGTCTTTCAGAGGGGTTGGGATAAAGCAGACCAATAAAGTAATCTTAATGTTGAAACTCCTTTTTTTTACCAGGCTGATGTCTCAGGAGAGACTAAACAGCTACGCAACGGGTATGTTATGATTTTATTGATGCCTTGTTCCAGAGAAATAGATTTACTAGAGGACAGAACATTGACTTGTTCCAGAGAAATAGATTTACTAGGGGACAGAACATTGACTTGTTCCAGAGAAATAGATTTACTAGGGGACAGAACATTGACTTGAATAGGACTGTCAGTTCTAGTCCTATGCCTTGTGCTCAACTCCACAAAAAAACAATCAGTTCAATACAGCTGTATTACAACACGACATTGTCTAACACTGGTTAACCATGTGCTCTTCCTTCCAGTCTGGAGAAGAGCGAGAGCCAGGAAGCATCGCTAGAAGCGGAAGGGAAGGAACTCAAAGAAAAATCTGAACAGGCCCAGAGCAGCACCACTGTAAGTTCCCCATTCCTCTCCTACAGTCACCTTAGCCTGGTCCCAGGCCTGTTTGTGCTGTACAGCCAACTCCTATGGGCGTTTGGTGTGACAATGACCATAGGAGTTGGCAAGACGGCACAAACAGGCCTGGGACCATGCTAGATCTGCCTTTTTCTAGGGAGTTTTTCCTAGCCACCGTGCTTCTACATCTGCATTGCTTGCTGTTTGGGGTTTTAGGCTGGGTTACTGTATAGCACTTTGTGACATCTGCTGATGTAAAAAGGGCTTTATTAATCCATGTGATTTGATATAGTTACCCTGCTTGTCTATCAACATGATCTGTATTAGTGAACGATCTGTTTTGGTTTCAGCAGTCTGACAACACAGCAGAACTGGCTGCACTACAAACCAGGTACATGGAAACTTGCTCATCGCCGTTTTGAAATTCAAATCAAACTGTATTTAAAGTGTATTTTTAAAAAATCACAACACACTTTACAGTAAACCAATACAAATGAAGGGGATAAAAGTTATATGGGCTTTTGGCTCTTCTGTATAAAAAGTAAACTGTTTCTTTCCCTTGGTTCTCCGTTAGTCTGGCAGAGAGGGAAGCTATGATGACGTCACTACAGGAGGCGCTAAGGGAAGCCAGGGACCAATCACAGAAGGTACAGGAGACTCTCGCTCAGTCCCAGCTGAGCACAGAGCTGCCGTTAAGACTGAGCCATAATAATGATAATTGATTATTGATTGGTCTGGTCTGACAGAAGTCATGGTTATGCAGTCTGTATAGTATGTTAACAGTGTTTTTAATGCAGTCTGTATAGTTTCTGGTTTTTACAGGTAAAGACAAATATAACATTTTAATCAAATGTAATGGACATTCTTATTGGTTCGGTCTGTGGGGTTTTGATTCCAGGAGCTGTTGGAGAAACTGAAGGAGACCGAGGACAGCCACGGGACACTGCAGGCAGAGTGTGACCAGTACAGGACAGTCCTGGCTGAAACGGTGACGACTTGCACTAATACAACATGCCCAATTGGTCAACCATCACCTGCATCTCTAAATAAACTTAACATTTGGCCTACAGCCTTTTTACTACAAAAGACAATAGCGTGTTTGAGTGAGAGAGAGAGAGAGAGAGAGACAGAGGTGTGGATGAGGAATAAATCTGCTGAATTTATCACCCAACACCTGCATCTATAAAGATGTGAAAGAAAACTCTCTTCTTGCATAAAAACAAGTGTGAGCGGGCGAGAGAGCGAGTCGTGGTCTACATGTCATGGATCTGTCTCCCTCCACAGGAAGGAATGCTGAAGGACCTTCAGAAGAGTGTTGAGGAGGAGGAGCTGGTGTGGAAATCCAAGATGGCCGACTCTGAGGACCAGTTGAAGAAGGTGAAGAAGCAGCGTAGTGTCCCTCTTCTCTGTAATGCTTGTGATAATAATATAATATGCCATTTAGCAGACGCTTTTATCCAAAGCGACTTACAGTCATGCGTGCATAAAAAATTATTTTTTGTGTATGGGTGGTCCCAGGGATCGAACCCACTACCTTGGCGTTACAAGCGCCGTGCTCTACCAGCTGAGCTACAGAGGACCACATATTGTGCTGTCTGTGGGTCTGTTCTAAACCACTCCTTCTCTACTCACACTAGGCCCTGGAACAAGTGCACACTCTGAAGGAGACTGCAGAGAGCTTGAAGCCAGAAAACCAAAGCATAGAACAGGTATAATAAATACATCAATGTAAAAAATAAAAAAATTGTTAATTAATTTCCACCTGAAGGGGTTTATCATGATGCTCCGTGTAATATGTTTTAATATCCCGTCCAGTGGGTGTGTGGTGACAGACTGGTACTGTCTGATGGAGGCTTTAGTAATGGACTCCTCCCTGTAATGCAGCCTGTATAGGATGTTAACAGTGTTTTTAATGCAGTCTGTATAGTATGTTAACAGTGTGTTTATGCAGTCTCTATAGTATGTTAACAGTGTTTTAATGCAGTCGTATAGTATGTTAACAGTGTTTAATGCAGTCTCTATAGTAATGTTAACACGTGTTTTAATGGCAGTCTGTATAGTATGTTAACAGTGTTTTAATGCGTCTCTATAGTATGTTAACGTGTGTTTAATGCAGTCTGTATAGGATGTTAACAGTTGTTTTAATGCAGTCTGTATAGTATGTTAACAGTGTTTTTAATGCAGTCTGTATAGTATGTTAACAGTGTTTTAATGCAGTCTGTATAGTATGTTAACAGTGTGTTTAATGCAGTCTGTATAGTATGTTAACAGTGTTTTAATGCAGTCTCTATAGTATGTTAACAGTGTTTTAATGCAGTCTGTATAGTATGTTAACAGTGTTTTTAATGCAGTCTTGTATTAGTATGTTAACAGTGGTTTTAATGCAGTCTGTATAGTATGTTAACAGTGTTTTAATGCAGTCCTGTATAGTATGTTACAGTGTGTTTAATGCAGTCTGTATAGTATGTTAACAGTGTTTTAATGCAGTCTGTATAGTATGTTAACAGTGTTTTTTAATGCAAGTCTGTATAGTATGTTAACAGTTGTTTGTAATGCAGTCTGGTATAAGTATGTTAACAGTGGTTTTAATGCAGTCTGTATCAGTATGTTAACAGTGGTTAATGCAGTCTCTATAGTAATGTTAACATGTTTTAATGCCGTCTGTAATAGTATGTTAACAGTGTTTTAATTAATGCAGTCTGTATAGTAAGTTTAACAGTGTTTAATGCAGTCCTGTATAGTATGTTAGACATGTTTTTTAATGCAGTCCTGTATAGGTATGTTAACAGTGTTTTTAAAAATGCAGTCTGTATAGTGATGTTAACAGTGTTTTAAATGCAGTCTGTATAGTAATGTTAACAGTGGTTTTTAAATGCCAGTCCTCTATAGTATGTTTAAAGTGTGTTTAAATGCAGTCCTGTATAGTTTCTGGTTTTTTACAGGTAAAGGCAAATATAAAATGTTTATCAAATGTAATGGACATTCTTATTGGTTCGGTCTGTGGGGTTTTGATTCCAGGAGCTGTTGGAGAAACTGAAGGAGACCGAGGACAGCCACGGGACACTGCAGGCAGAGTGTGACCAGTACAGGACAGTCCTGGCTGAAACGGTGAAGACTTGCACTAATACAACATGCCCAATTGGTCAACCATCACCCGCATCTCTAAATGAACTTAACATTTGGCCTACAGCCTTTTTACTACAAAAGACAATAGCGTGTTTGAGAGAGTGCGAGACAGAGGTGTGGATAGGGAATACATCTGCCTAATTTATCACCCAACACCTGCATCTATAAAGACGTGAAAGAAAACTCTCTCTTCTTGCATAAAAACAAGTGTGAGCGGGCGAGAGAGCGAGTCGTGGTCTACATGTCATGGATCTGTCTCCCTCCACAGGAAGGAATGCTGAAGGACCTTCAGAAGAGTGTTGAGGAGGAGGAGCTGGTGTGGAAATCCAAGATGGCCGACTCTGAGGACCAGTTGAAGAAGGTGAAGAAGCAGCGTAGTGTCCCTCTTCTCTGTAATGCTTGTGATAATAATATAATATGCCATTTAGCAGACGCTTTTATCCAAAGCGACTTACAGTCATGCGTGCATACATTATTTTATTTTTTTGTGTATGGGTGGTCCCAGGGATCGAACCCACTACCTTGGCGTTACAAGCGCCGTGCTCTACCAGCTGAGCTACAGAGGACCACATATTGTGCTGTCTGTTGCTCTGTTCTAAACCACTCCTTCTCTACTCACACTAGGCCCTGGAACAAGTGCACACTCTGAAGGAGACTGCAGAGAGCTTGAAGCCAGAAAACCAAAGCATAGAACAGGTATAATAAATACATCAATGTAAAAATAAAAATAAATGTGTTAATTAATTTCCACCTGAAGGGGTTTATCATGATGCTCCGTGTAATATGTTTTTAATATCCCGTCCAGTGGGTGTGTGGTGACAGACTGGTCCTGGAGGCTTTGGGCTGTTGGTGTTAACCGGGGTTTTTGCATCAATATGCCATGTTTAAGCATCTGGGATAAGGCGAAAAAAGGGGGAAGCAGGTAAATAAACAATGAAAATAAAATAATTTGGTTCTTAAGCCTCATTGGGTTACATTGTTTTTAAATGCATTTTTTTTTTTCCCCCCCCCCCCTTCCTTAAGTTTTTAACGTGTTTTTAAGCGTCTGGTTTAATGTTAACAGTTGTTGTTTTTTAATGCAGTCTGTATAGTATGTTAACAGTGTGTTTAATGCAGTCTGTATAGTATGTTAACAGTGTTTTAATGCAGTCTCTATAGTATGTTAACAGTGTTTTAATGCAGTCTGTATAGTATGTTAACAGTGTTTTAATGCAGTCTGTATAGTATGTTAACAGTGTTTTAATGCAGTCTGTATAGTATGTTAACAGTGTTTTAATGCAGTCTCTATAGTATGTTAACAGTGTTTTAATGCAGTCTGTATAGTATGTTAACAGTGTGTTTAATGCAGTCTGTATAGTATGTTAACAGTGTTTTAATGCAGTCTCTATAGTATGTTAACAGTGTGTTTAATGCAGTCTCTATAGTATGTTAACAGTGTTTTAATGCAGTCTGTATAGTATGTTAACAGTGTGTTTAATGCAGTCTGTATAGGATGTTAACAGTGTGTTTAATGCAGTCTCTATAGTATGTTAACAGTGTTTTTAATGCAGTCTGTATAGGATGTTAACAGTGTGTTTAATGCAGTCTGTATAGGATGTTAACAGTGTGTTTAATGCAGTCTGTATAGTATGTTAACAGTGTGTTTAATGCAGTCTCTATAGTATGTTAACAGTGTTTTTAATGCAGTCTGTATAGGATGTTAACAGTGTGTTTAATGCAGTCTGTATAGGATGTTAACAGTGTGTTTAATGCAGTCTGTATAGTATGTTAACAGTGTGTTTAATGCAGTCTCTATAGTATGTTAACAGTGTTTTAATGCAGTCTGTATAGTATGTTAACAGTGTTTTAATGCAGTCTGTATAGTATGTTAACAGTGTTTTTAATGCAGTCTGTATAGTATGTTAACAGTGTTTTTAATGCAGTCTGTATAGTTTCTGGTTTTTACAGGTAAAGGCAAATATAAAATGTTTATCAAATGTAATGGACATTCTTATTGGTTCGGTCTGTGGGGTTTTGATTCCAGGAGCTGTTGGAGAAACTGAAGGAGACCGAGGACAGCCACGGGACACTGCAGGCAGAGTGTGACCAGTACAGGACAGTCCTGGCTGAAACGGTGAAGACTTGCACTAATACAACATGCCCAATTGGTCAACCATCACCCGCATCTCTAAATGAACTTAACATTTGGCCTACAGCCTTTTTACTACAAAAGACAATAGCGTGTTTGAGAGAGTGCGAGACAGAGGTGTGGATAGGGAATACATCTGCCTAATTTATCACCCAACACCTGCATCTATAAAGACGTGAAACAAAACTCTCTCTTCTTGCATAATAACAAGTGTGAGCGGGCGAGAGAGCGAGTCGTGGTCTACATGTCATGGATCTGTCTCCCTCCACAGGAAGGAATGCTGAAGGACCTTCAGAAGAGTGTTGAGGAGGAGGAGCTGGTGTGGAAATCCAAGATGGCCGACTCTGAGGACCAGTTGAAGAAGGTGAAGAAGCAGCGTAGTGTCCCTCTCCTCTGTAATGCTTGTGATATTGTGCTGTCTGTGGGTCTGTTCTAAACCACTCCTTCTCTACTCACACTAGGCCCTGGAACAAGTGCACACTCTGAAGGAGACTGCAGAGAGCTTGAAGCCAGAAAAACAAAGCATAGAACAGGTATAATAAATACATCAATGTAAAAATAAATAAAAAATGTTAATTAATTTCCACCTGAAGGGTGGAACATTATGTGCCGTGTAATGTTTTAATATCCGGTCCAGTAGGTGTGTAGTGACTGACTGGTTCTGTCTGAGGCTTTAGTAATGGACTCCTCCCTCTCTCTGCAGCTGAAGGAGCAGGTGATGCTGTTGGAAGCCCAGTTGGAGAAACAGTCCGAGACCGCCCCGACAGAGGAGGAAATGTCTCAGGTACACATCTACATCCGTTAAGGGCGGCAGCTAGCCAAGCAGTTAGCGCTAGTCCAAGTCCCGAGCCGACAAGGTGTAAATTATGTCGATGTGCCTTTTGAGCAAGGCGCTTAACCCTAATTGCTCCAGGATCGCCGTTGATGATGACAGACCCTGACCGTGAACCCACTCTCCGGGGGTGTCTCTGGGAGTTGGGATAAGCAAAAAACACATTTCCAATTCACACGCGTGTGTGTGTATAATGGGTGAAATGGGACAAATATAAGCACCCACCAAATTACGATTATTATTATTATTATACAGACCATAAATGGATACACTACACATCAATATTCATAGACCATAGGTACACTATTTATACACATCAATATTCATAGACCATAGGTACACTATTTAAACACCAATATTCATAGACCATAGGTGCACTATTTATACACATCAATATTCATAGACCATAGGTACACTAGTTATACACATCAATATTCATAGACCATAGGTACACTAGTTATACATATAGTAGAAACAGTCAGAGGAAATGACTCCGGTACACCGACTAGTAAAGACATCATCCCATATCACCAGCTGTTTTTTTGCTCTGTCTCACTAAATCACATTGCTGGTAGAGTGAGTGACCACAGAATGTAGTACATTATTGAGTCCGTGTGTTCTCCAGTTGAAGCAGCTGCTGTCAGAGTCTCAGAGCCAGCTGGAGTCAGCCCAGACGCAAGCCCAGACGCACAGGGAAGAGCTGGCTATGGTAAGTGTGTGTGTGTCTGTCTCCTGTGGTCCTGACCGGAACATCAATGAGTTGAGGTCAACTTAGTGTGTGTGTGTGTATGAGTTTGTGTATTCCAATTCTCTCCCTCTTGTCTCTAACCCCTGGAGCTTCCTGTTCCAGGTCAGAGGTCAGCTGAACGAGGCGATGGAGCGCGCTCAGATCCAGAAGGCGGTCCCTGAGGCCGGGGCACAGAATGGCCAATCAGAGCCTGAGGTCAGGGTGCATCGAAGGTTATAGGTCATAGGGGCAATCCTTCACTGCCGGTCTACTCTATTGGAGGGAACTGGAAACTGGTCACTAATGGTCACCACCACTCCATAATATAGTCCTCAGCACATTCTAATTAGGAAGGAATAGCAAGCCTATTGTCTCACAGCCAAAGGCTATATTATTAAACAACCACTGTAATGAAGCAGCCCACCCTCCCAAAAAAACGGCAATTTGCGGGAAAATACTGTTATTAAAAAAAACACCTGATGTTAGTGGTTTCATGTGATGGAGATAAATCTCAGTTAAAAGCTTAGAGGGGAAACCTAAAGATGCAACAACTAGGATGGGTTGCTAATGACTAGGATTGGGCCTTTGGCTTCTGGACAACGAAAGAAAGTTGATAGTATGTTAAATGCTTGTTTCAATGGCATATGAGTCTTTATAAAATTTAAAATAATTGCATCCACGTTTCTATGGTCTGATTTTGGCTAGGCTACTTCGACGCAAGTTAAGACATTCCTCATCATATGTAGTAAAACCTCCCATGTTTCAAAATGCACACTGCCTCCAGCTCAGATTGCAAGGTGGTGGGTGACTCGCTGATAGCCTGCATACCATATTCTCATCCACTAAAATTGGTGAATGGATGGATGTGCTTCAATTAGGAGTTGAAATATAAAAATAGATCCTCCTTTTTATTTTTATCTTGGCCATCAAAACTCTGTTTTTAACACGCGATTGCATTTAGAATTGTTGCGCAATGACTGGGCTTATAAGAAGACGTTTCGCTGATGGTGCAACCAGCTGTTGGAGCAACCAGCTGTTGGAGCAACCAGCGCTGAACAACGCTGTGTGTGTGTGAGATATATATATATATATCGAACTAACGAATACACGTGCCAATTTAATTCCACTAAATTATGCAAATTAACCTATAGACCGATAAGCATGACCGGTCAAATGTACACTGAACAAAAAATATAAACGCAACATGTAATGTGTTGGTCCCATGTTTCATGAGCTGAAATAAAAAGCTTATTTCAAATTTGTTTACATCCCTGTTAGTGAGCATTTCTCCTTTGGCAAGATAATCCATCCACCTGACAAGTGTGGCATATCAAGAAGCTGATTAAACAGCATGATCATTACACAGGTGCACCTTGTGCTGGGGACAATAAAAGGCCACTCTAAAATGTGCAGTTTTGTCACTCAACACAATGCCACAGATGTCTCAAGTTTTGAGGAAGCGTGCAATTGGCATGCTGACTGCAGGAATGCCAGATAATTTAATGTTAATTTATCTACCATAAACCGCCTCCAATGTCGTTTTTAGAGAATTTGGCAGTACGTCCAACCGGCCTCACAACCGCAGACCACGTGTATGGCGTCGTGTGGGCGAGCAGTTTGCTGATGTCAACGTTGTGAACAGAGTGCACCATGGTGGGGTTATGGTATGGGCAGGCATGAGCTACGGACAATGAACACAATTGCATTTTATCGATGGCAATTTTAATACACAGAGATACCGTGACGAGATCCTGAGGCCCATTGTCGCGCCATTCATCCGCCGCCATCTAATGTTTCAGCATGATAATGCACGGCCCCATGTCGCAAGGATCTGTACACAATTCCTGGAAGCTGAACATGCCCCAGTTCTTCCATTGAGCATGTTTGGTATGCTCTGGATCGACGTGTACGACAGCGTGTTCCATTTCCTGCCACTATCCAGCAACTTCGTACAGCTATTGAAGAGGAGTGGGCCACAATCAACAGCCTGATCAACTCTATGCAAAGGAGATGTGTCGCGCTACATGAGGCAAATGGTCACACAAGATACTGACTGGTTTTCTGATCCACGTCCCTACTTTTTTTTTAAAGGTATCTGTGACCAACAGACGCATATTTGTATTCCCAGTCATATGAAATCCATAGATTAGGGCCTAATTTATTTATTTCAATTGACTGATTTCCTTATATGAACTGTAACTCAGTCAAATCTTTGAAATTGTTGCATTTAGTTTTGTTCAGTATATTTTCGGCAGCTAACCGGTTAACCGTTGATATCCCTAGTTTATGCCATTGGCCACTAGTACTATAGCTCCAGGTTAACCATTGCCTAGGAATATATATATATATATATATATATAATGGAGTGATGTCATGAACCTATACAGCTCTAATATGTGCTGGGATCCATTTGACCAATAGAAAAAGCCCACTGTTCTTTACTGACACATTTTGATTGGGTAAAACCATTAGAGCAATAAAAAAAACAAGAGCAGTCTATAGCAACATAGGAATGCTTCAGGCTTGGGTGTGTCACTGTCAACTCGGATTGTGTGTCCTTAGCTCAAGAATGTTGACGCCCCCAGTGTCTTGACTTTGGCGGCGTTATTATGAATGTATTATTAAAGGCAGTGTGTCCAGTCTGTCCAGTTCTCTCCATACGCAGCAGCTGTTTAACCACCCGGTGTGTTGACTCTCAGCTGCCCTAACCACAGCTTGGCTCACTCTATTCTTAGCATGATCACTCACTCCTTGGGTTCAGTTTTCCACTGATTTGGGTTTTTCACTGAAGAGCCGTACGGTTTGTTTTTTAAATGACTCTGCTTCTTGCGTGGTGTGGAGTGATGCACTGACATGGCACAGGGGTGGTGTGTGTGGGTGTCTGCGTGGGTGTGCAAGTCATTGCTTTTAGTCAAACACAACAAGCTTTTATCTATCTGTGTCTGTGGCGATGGGGGACACATCTCCAGTGTTCGTCCTTCATCTTCTGACATTGTGTGTGTGTGTGTGTGTGTGTGTGTGTGATGCATCATATCCTAATACTATGTTTTGTGCATCTCAAGGTCCAGTCCCAGTTGAGTCAGACCACAGAGGAGTTTGAACAGGTACGCGCAACAGCCAATCGGAAGAAGGCAGAACTTGGACATTGGCTAACAAAAAAAACTGCTTAGTTGGACAGTGACTTGTCTCTGTGACTTTATCCGACTGACATTTTTTGTATTTTGTGTCTGACTTGATCTTGGCCTCCCAGGCTCAGAAGACCGTTGTAGAACTCCAGGCCCAGCTGGACATGCTGAAAGAGGCAGGAGACTCCCCACAGGCCGACACAGAGGACGTAACCCAGCTAAAGGTACGTGACCGTGGGCCACGTTCAGCAGAATGTTGTGGAACTTTCAGATAGAAATATGTTATGTAGAACAAACCTGCCTCTCCTGACATGTAGAATTAAAAACATCATGCTATTTCTAACGCTAACCCTGCAACGTTGGACAACGTTTACCTACTGAACATGGACCAGGGCCCGTATTCATCAATCAATCAATCAATCAAATGTATTTAAAGCCCTTTTTACATCAGCAGATGTCACAAAGTGCTATACAGAAACCCAGCCTAAAACCCCAAACAGCAAGCAATGCAGATGTAGAAGCACGGTGGCTAGGAAAAACTCCCTAGAAAGCGTTTTTTTTTTTTTTTTAGAGTAGTAGTGCTGATCGATGATGTAATGTCCATTCAATAATCTAAAAGGATATACTGATCCTAGATGAGCAAGCTTTATGAATACAGGCCCAGGTCAGTGCTGATGCTGTTGTGAGGTCAGAAGGCTGAGTGGAAACTAACCAAAGACCTGGGCCAAGCAGCCACCCAAACTCCAGCTGCTCCTTAAAGTGCACTTTACTCACGTACTCCTGAGTGGGCGCAGTGGTCTAAGGCACTGCATCGAAGTGCTAACTGTGCCACTAGAGATCCTGGTTCGAATCCAGGCTCTGTCGCCGCCGGCCGCGACCGGGAGACTCATGGGGCGGCGCACAATTGGCCCAGCGTCGTCCAGGGTAGGGAAGGGAATGGCCGGCAGGGATGTAGCTCAGTTGATAGAGCATGGCGTTTGCAACGCCAGGGTTGTGGGTTCGATTCCCACGGGGGGCCAGTATAAAAAAAAAAATGTATTCACTAACTGTAAGTCGCTCTGGATAAGAGCGTCTGCTAAATGACTAAAATGTAAATGTAAAGTTCGCTCAGGAGCAGCTTGCCAGAGAGAGGGATAACCACAACACTCTACAGGACCTCTCTGATGAGGCCAAGGTGGCTATTACAATACATTACTACTTTATTACACCGAGGGTTGTGGGTTCAATTCCCGCAGGGATCACATACAGATACTAAAATAAGCACTTGCTGTACTGAAAGTCACTCTTGAGTAAACTGCTTAGTGGAATACCTTCGCCTGAATGACTACAGTAATACTGGTTTTGGTTTTACCGCCATGACGGCAGTCAAATTCCCATGTGACGGTAAATAGGCTTCTCCAAGCTCTGATGCTGCTGATGGTCATTAGTAGCCTACCAAACTTGCTAACTTCCTGGTACTCAGCACTCTATTGTCCCTCTAATCACTCTGACATCAATGCAAATGTTTTCGAACATCTAATCAAACACTTCATGAGAGCCCATGTTTACATTACATTTAGTCATTTAGCAGACGCTCTTATCCAGGCGACTTACATGAGCAATTAGGGTTAAGTGCCTTGCTTAAGGGCACATCGACAGATTTTCACCTAGTCGGTCGGGGATTAGAACCAGCGACCTTTCGGTTACTGGCACAACGCTCTTACTCACTAAGCTACCTGCCGCCCGCCTGTCATGTTGCGCAACATTTCTATAGGCTGTGCAATTGCGTGAGAGAACAGAGTTTTGATGGCCTCTATTAAAAAGAGGAGGATCCCATCAGCTTTCTAGGCCTATATTTATGTATCAACTTTCCTAATATTAAAGCACATTGCTTGACTTTACAACAGGAGTATAGCCTACCTGTCTGGCATGAAAATGAACCACAGGAATAGTGTCCTCCCTTCTCTATTAGAAGGGAGGACACTATTCCTTCTAATAGTAGATTACTTTTTTTTTTTTTTCTTTTTTTTTTTTCATGTCCCTGTTCTGAGACAGGTACATGATAATGGTCCATTCTAAATCAAAACTAATTCCGCACATATATTATTTAGTATATGTAAAGACAACATTAAATCAAGAATAGTCTGATGGGTGGCTATTAGCCTATCACTTGTATGATGCCCAGCATGTGCAGTAAGGCGAGAAACAGTGCATGCCTTTTTTTTTTTTTTTTTTTTGGGGGGCGACTTTTTCAAATCCATAGTCTCACACCTCATGTAGCCTAGCCCATAGGCCTATATGTTTTGATAAGGTTTGTATCACAACTAAAGTGGCCAAATAACTTCTTTAAATGAAGCACCATTAGTCCGCTTTACAAGGGGTGTAGAGCTTAACTGGCATCCATAGGTGGCGAAGGAGTTTCAAGTTTGGGGAAGATCATTTTCACCATTAAAATTGCATCTTTATGCATGTAATGCTTTATTATAATCACATTTGCGGTCACTTTTGAGGAGAGTGTTTTCCCGCTAGTTGATTGCATTTTGGAACATTTGCACTTAATGTTGTACACTACTGCCGTGTGCGCATTGCTGCGCTTATAATGTGAAGAAATAGCCTAATAGTTTATCAACATTTTAAGCTAAAAGTTCTGATCTGTTGCATCAATCTCATTTCTTTTAAAAGGTTTTTTGATGCAAGTGGTTGTGTTTAATTTAGGATCTATCGCATCCCACAACTGTCCCAGACTGTTTTGGAATATTAATTGTAGCCTACTTCTTAGCCGTGAGAAGGAACCGATCACGTGACGGGCATTGGCTAATAAGAATTGAGATATCTGAGAGAGCCATGTGAGTGAGAGGTGCTTCGGAGCACACAGCCAGGAGAAGGGAATTATAATGATTATATTCAGCCCAAGGGGCACAACGCCCACTTTGGCCGCAAAAGGCATGGATCTTTTTTAGGGGGCATTACGGCCACACAAGTGGGATGCCGCTGGGAAATTCGAGGCCTGGTGAGGATATTAACAAGTGTGTGTGTGCAGTCTGTGTAAGATGTCTTCATGAGACTTTATTCAAATCATCATTAGAGTCGCATCATGCAGCCTTAGAATGTATTAAAAATCAAAACATATAGCCCTACGTTTATCGCAAGTAAAGTTTTAATAAATAACTCTAAATTAAGCATATAGGAGGACCTGTTTCTTTGTTAACCGCTCAACACAGAATAGCTGCATGTGGCCACTCCCTCGGAAATCATCTTGAGAAAATATCCTTTCTATATTATTCAGCTTTGTTCAGTTGTATTCTTCATATTATAAAATAATATAAAATAATGCCACGGAATTCTACGAAAATCTTGGCAAATATGGCATAGGCATATCTATTCTGTTCTTCTGAATTATACAAATTTTCTTCATATCATGTTTCTTTAGACCTGTCTAAAATAAATAATGGATTTATGGTAATTGGTGTAGGCTAAAATAATTTATTAGACATTTTTAAATGTAGATGTTCCAAAGGTCTGCCATCAGTGGGCTATGCGTGGAAGCCAAGAGATGCTAAATGTGTTTATGTTAATTAACAGTCAATTACCGTGAGAACGGCAGTTATTTGCTTGACAAATCACCGGCTGACAATTTCATGACCACCTAGTTATGTCATGTATTTTAGTAATGTCCATCAATGATTGATTGATTGATTTAATGTATTGGGTGTGGTTGTAAATGTAATGTATTTCTGTTTCTGTCTTTCAGGAAGAGAGTACAGGGCTGAAGGAAGGAACATCTGTTTAAGAGACTGAAGATATGACACTAAAACATGATTACCATAACTGTTCTTATTTATTATACTGTAGTAGTTGAATGCTGCAACTCCTGTAAGAATCAAAGGTCCAGTTTCCCGGACACAGATTAAAGCCTAGTTCCTGGGGCTAAAATACATGCTCAGTGGAGAATCTCCATTTTAAAGTTAAGTTTTAGTCAGGGACTAGGCTTAATCTGTGTCTGGGGGAAACCGGACCAAAGTATTTCTGGGTCGTTCCACCAATTCGGTGCCTTTTCAGATGAGGAAGTGTTTTAACATTTGTCATAAAGAGAACATGTTCAACTTAATCAAAAAACATGTTTTCCCATCTTCGAGGTTAAATCAAAGATGACTATATTTAAGTGCCAAATAAAGTAACAGGGTTGACGATTTCATCAAAAAACCCGCAATAAAATCCCTTTGTGACGGGGGAAATGGAACCTTGTTATGTGCAACAGGGAAGGGCAATTGAATGCAAGCGTCACACAAAAAAAGATATTGTGTGAACATTCCTAGCCTGTCTATCTATGGGTAACGGGTTTTATGCTGAACCAACTCAGTTTTCCACCACAAAACAACAGAAAATGACCAAAAATAGTATAACCAGCTGCTTTTTCATGATGACTTGACTATTAGATGTTCAATGTTTATTTTTTATAACATTTAAAAAGGAATAGTTTCACCGTATTAAAACAAGTTCAGTTCCCGTAACAGGGTTGGCCTTAAAATGAGGGACATATTTTTTTTGTACCTTTTTTTTAAAAAATGAATCACTAATTTACATTTTAAATAAATAATCATCTTTGGAAATGAGTTTGTAAAAGCAACAAAATAACTAGGGCTTTACAATGATGGTGAAACCTTTGCGACATGTTAGGATTAAGTGGGTTGAAATCTATCGGAGTCAGAGGATATTATTATTATTATTATTATTATTATTATTATTATTATTATTATAGAGGATGCATGTAGGGACATGTCAAAATGCTGAATTTTGGCACTTTATTCATATTTAAAAAATCTGATTTATTGAATTCTCTGTGGTCTACTAAAGGGCACTTCATTGAATATAACAGGCTTTTAAAATTCAATATTGGTGTAGAATTCCTACTTTAAAAATATCAAAGGGACGCAAAAGGCCCTCATTTCGTGGAACGACCCAACTGTTGCTACATTCCATTGATCTAGGGATGAGGGGAAAAAAAAGACTATGCTGCAAACAAAACTTTGAAGACAAACTTACATTCCATCAACAATTCTGGCTATGTCAGAAGTTATACCTAAGACTAGCTCTGGTCCAGGGCATTACTGCACCGTTCCTCCACTATGCCATGTATCGATCACACTAACACCCTGGACCAGAGCTAACCTACTCTGCCTTATAGTCACAATGAACCCCCCCCCCCCCCCCCCCAGAGTCCACAGTGTTAAAAGGGAGAACGATTGTGCGTTAAAACGTACATCAACCTGTGCAATTACTTTGTGTGTCTAAAAATGGCTCCCTATATATTACTATAGGGAAACCCTATGGGCCCTGGTCAAAAGCAGTACAGTATAGGGAATAAGTAGGGTGCCATTTTCAGACGCAACTTTGTGTGTCTTTTTGTAAGTGGTTGGATGAATGATGGGAAGAAGTTATGGTACACTGGACGGATGGACGGATACGATCCATTGAGTGCCTCCTTCAGTACTGTGTGGAAACAGTAGCTGGCTGCCAACACAAATGTATGAATTTGATAAAGAATAAAACTACAATGTAGCTATTGTGTTATGACTCGTGCTTGAACCCTGTTGTTGATGTTGATTTTAAACCAAGGATTGATGTGACAAACCATGGGTCTGTTCCAGAAAGCAGGATTATTACAGTGGCCAGCTAACTAATAAACAGCCACGTATATCTCTTTGACTCTCTGGTAAACAAACAAAAAAAAGAGTTGATAATGGTTGTTGTCGAAGTCAATTTGGAGTCTAAATTTCTCAACGTTAATTCAAGCAGTTTTGGAAAGTTAGCTGGCTAACTTGTTGGTCCAGCTTTCTGTGACAGCCCCCATGAGGAACAAACTGAAAATATATGAAAGAAACCAGAGGGACGGGCAGATGTTTTATTTGACAGATTACTCCAGTAGCAATCAGTTTCAAAACGTTTTCTCTGTATTGAACAGGACCCAGGAAATGCAGTGAGGCGCTCACCTGTGGGCAGAGGCTGCCAATCTGGGTGGTGTCCATGCGGACCAGCTTCATGCCCTCGCTATTATACACTGAACTAAAATAAAAATGCAACATGTAAAGTGTTGGTCCCATGTTTCATGAGCTGAAATAAAAGATCCCAGAAATTTCACATATGCACAAAAAGCATATTACTCTCAAATGTTGTTCACAAATTTGTTTACATCCCTGTTAGTGAGCATTTCTCCTTTGCCAAGATAATCCATCCACCTGACAGGTGTGGCATATCAAGAAGCTGATTAAACAGCATGATTGTTACACAGGTGCACCTTGTGCTGGGGACAAAAGGCCACTTTAAATGGCTAGATTTGTCACACAACACAATGCCACAGATGTCTCAAGTTTTGCGGGAGCGTGCAATTGGCATGCTGACTGCAGGAATGTCCACCAGAGCTTTTGCCAGATAATTTAATGTTAATTTCTCTACCATAAGACGCCTCCAACGTCGTTTTAGGGAATTTGGAAGTACATCCAACCGGCCTCACAACCGCAGACCACGTGTAACCACGCCAGCCCAGGACCTCCACATTCGGCTTCTTCACCTGCGGGATGGTATGAGACCAGCCTCCCGGACAGCTGATGAAACAGGAGTATTTCTGTCTGTAAAGGCCTTTTGTGGGGGAAAACTCATTCTGATTGGCTGGGCCTACCCATGGCTGAGCCCCTTCCCAGTCATGTGAAATCCATAGATTAGGGCCTAATGAATTTATTTCAATTGACTGATTTCCTTATATGAACTGTAAATCCGTAAAATCATTGAAATTGTTGCGTTTACAGTGCATTCGGAAAGTATTCAGACCCCTTGACTTTGTCCACATTTTATTACGTTACAGCCTTATTCTAAAATGGATTAAATTGTCCCCCCATCAATCTACACACAATATCCCATAATGTCAAAGCAAAAACAGTTTTTTTTATTATTCAGACCCTTTACTCAGTACTTTGTTGAAGCACCTTTGGCAGCGATTACAGCCTCGAGTCTTCTTGGGTATGACGCTACAAACTTGGCACACCTGTATTTGGGGAGTTTCTCCCTGTCTTCTCTGCAGATCCTCTCAAACTCTTTCAGGTTGGATGGGGAGCGTCACTGCACAGCTATTTTCAGGTCTCTCCAGAGATGTTTGATCGGGTTCAAGTCTGGCTCTGGCTGGGCCACTTAAGGACACTCAGAGACTTGTCCCGAAGCCACTCCTCCGTTGTCTTGGCTGTGTGCTTAGGGTCGTTGTCCTGTTGGAAGGTGAACCTTCGCCCCAGTCTGAGGTCCTGAGCACTCTGGAGAAAGTTTTCATCAAGGATCTCTGTACTTTGCTCCGTCATATTTCCCTCGATCCTGACTAGTTTCTCAGTCCCTGCCGCTGAAAAACATCCCCACAGCATGATGCTGCCACCACCGTGCTTCAGCGTAGGGATGGTGCCAGGTTTCCTCCAGATGTTCAATCTTGTTGTTCAATCAGGGAGGTGACCAAGAACCCGATGATCACTCTGACAGAGCTCCAGAGTTCCTCTGTGGAGATGGGAGAACCTTCCAGAAGGACAGTCTACACACAATACATACAATACCCCATAATGACAAAGCGAAAACAGGTTTTTCGAAATGTTTGCACATTTATTAAAAATAAAAAACAGAAACCTTATTTACATAAGTATTCAGACCCTTTGCTTTGAGACTCGAAATTGAGCTCAGGTGCATCCGGTTTCCATTGATCATCCTTGAGGTGTTTCTACAACTTGATTGGAGTCCACCTGTGGTAAATTCAATTGATTGGACATGATTTGGAAAGGCACACACCTGTCTATATAAGGTCCCACAGTTGACAGGGCATGTCAGAGCAAAAACCAAGCCATGAGGTTGAAGGAATTGTCCGTATACCTCAAGAGACAGGATTGTGTCGAGGCACAATTGATTGGACATTACATTTTAGTCATTTAGCAGACGCTCTTATCAGAACAGATCTAGGGAAGGGCACCAAAACATTTCTGCAGCATTGAAGCTCCCCAAAAACACAGTGGCCTCCATCATTCTTAAATGGAAGAAGTTTGGAACCACCAACAGTCTTCCTAGAGCTGGCCGCCCGGCCAAACTGCAAACGGGGAAGAAGGGCCTTGGTCAGGGAGGTGACCAAGAACCCGATGGTCACTCTGACAGAGCTCCAGAGTTCCTCTGTGGAGAAGGGAGAACCTTCCAGAAGGACAACCATCTCTGCAGCACTCCACCAATCAGGCCTTTATGGTAGGGTGGCCAGACGGAAGCCACTCCTCAGTAAAAGGCACATGACAGCCTGCTTGGAGTTTGCCGAAAAGCACCTAAAAGACTCTCGTACCATGAGAAACAAGATTCTCTGGTCTGATGAAACCAAGATCGAATTCTGTGGCCTGAATGCCAAGCGTCACATCTGGAGGAAACCTGGCACCATCCCTACGGTGAAAGCATTGGGAATATACACAGTGTACAAAACATTAAGAACACTTGCTCTTTCCATGACAGACTGACCATGGGGATGGGGGGGGGGGGATGGGATGGGATGGGGGGGGTTAAATACAGAGTGCTGGTGACGCATTACTCCATTCAATGCAATACTGTATAACACAGAATTTACAAAGTATGTTTGCACTGCTGATGATGTATTCTGTTTCTTAAATAGGCTACTTCTAAATTAACATATCTAAGTCACCATGTGAACCAACATATCCACATCTGTTTCCATAAATCCCAAAGAAAATAAATGCAATTCATAGGTTATTAGACCTAATTATGTCTGGCAATTTCTGTTCTGCAAAGCCTACTTTTTAATTGACATTTCAAAACACTGAAACGTAAGGCCTCTATAGGCATACATGACAATTAAGACAGATTAATGTCTAGACGCTAGGCTCTAAACTTTTCAAAGCATTTTTTGGTTGTTGTATTTGACTCTGAGAGAATGACTTGACTGTTCTGCGCAAAGGTTGTTGCCAACACATTGGAGGAGCCCACCCACAACTACATTGCGCAACCATCTTTTAAACTCTTCCTGATTCAATCTCTTCCCTTCTACCATCCCGAGCGTCAGAAACAAGTAAGACACAGTTTGCTTTGAAAATGATTATATTCTTCAATATTAGGTGTTGTACAGATCTAAGCCAACTCGAAATGTTGTAGAATTAGGCTTCTAGAATTGCGTGCAGGTTTAAGCTTTTTTTGATATAGACTAGCGCTGCTATTTATCAGTTACAGTCAGACCAAAGCAGTTAGCATATCCGCGTTTCCCTACAACGTCCAGCAATCGCCATTTAAAAACGCTCTTATTTGTGAACGATCCTGGGTTTAGTTATTGGTCACAGTTTAATCGTGTTTTCATATTATTCCTCTCCTGCATTAATGGCAGATCGACTAGGTTTTACGTACGCTATAAAGTACTTTAATCTCAAACTGCCATTTTGTCTCAAGTTCAGGATGTGTACTTAGCTACAATGTGACATCTTGGATGGCTACATTGTAATATTATGTAACAGCTTCAGTGTAGCCTAGTAGAAATATATATATATATATATATTTATTTTTTTCAGCAGTGAAGGGGACACACGAAACATGTGAGACCACCGATTCTGATTGGATGGAAGGTTACATTGTAGCACTCCTAATGTAACCGAAAGAACGTTGTTTTACTGGCGTAGGAAATTATTAGCGTTGTGGTGTTATTTTGTTGCGTTCAAATCAAAGGAGCAGGCCTATTGACAGATCCATTTATTGTGTTCGAGGCTAGTTCTGGAGCAATGGGTGTCCTCCTTAGGGAGCGTTCCTCTGCCCAGGCGTTGCTGAAACCTGCCAGATATTACAACGCCTGGATAGGTATTTTAGGTATCAGCAGATGCCACGTTCAAAACAACTGGGAACTCGGAATGTCCGACTTCTGACGGCAGTGCGTTGAAGACAACTGGGAACTCGGGGGTCTTCCAACTCGGAATTCCAAGTCGGAAACTCGGGCATCTTTCTAGAGCTCCGACTTTCCTGCCCGAAGCTCGCTGAAGTAGTTTTTTTCCGAAGTTCCCAGTTGTCTTGAAAGCACCATAACCACATAGATGTTGCGCACGTCATCGACTGACTGATTGCTTTAACATATGTGTTTAGCTTATACATAAAATACCTATCCAAGCGTTGTAAGATCTGGCAGGCATCAGCAATGCCTGGGCAGAGGAACACGCCCCATATGTTATAGCAATCTGTCAGTCGATGACACAGCAGAGGGAATGCCACCTTTAATCTTTGCATTAGGCTGCACTGGTCTGTTTATTCAGATAAGTCCATGTTTAGGGTAGACTCCATGGAGATCCTGGAATGTGTGACGATGGGAGATGGGGTGGGGTAGGGGGACACCCAATCGCCCTTCATATGTCACAGGTTATATAGCTCAGTCTGGGTTAACCAGTCCAGGGAGTGCCTCAAAGGAGGAGTGCTGATGTAAACCAGTTTTAAGACAAAAAAAAAACTCCCAGCTCAGTGTAGGTTTTAACATGATGTTAAAGACATACTTTTACTGTTGAAAAGCGATATCCCAAGTATAAATACAGTAAAGTACACATACTAAAGGGTAAAAACTAAGTTTTGTGAAAATAGTGTTGTATTTTTTAGACACCACTGCAAACTTCAAGGAGTTGATCTGATGGGGAACCTGTGATGTCATCGGCCTCCCCCTTTGCTTGAGCAACAATAGTGGCGCAATAGCCCACTGGGCCAAAACTGGTTGAATGAATATTTTTCCCACGTCATTTTAAACAAAACAAAAAATCATTGTGATGACGTTGATTCAACATGGAAAAACTGTTTTGGATTTGCAAAAAAGTCATCAACGTAAGGGATTTCGTATGTTTTTCACCCAAATTGCAAATTAAAAATCCAATGACATGGTGATTTTCTTATTGTTACGGATTTCATGTTGAATTCATGTTAGTTGACAACTCAACTAAATGTAAATCAAAACTAGACGTTGAACTGACGTCTGTGCCCAGTGCAAGAGAACCAAAGAGGAAAGACCCACCCCCTTGTGCTATGTCATGACATACCTTTTGTTCAGTAAATCAGGTGTTAAATGAGGTGAAAAGGAGACTTACGGACAAACTCTGAGCCAGGAGTAAAATCAACTCATAAAAGTTTAACTCAGCTGGTAATCACGACAATTTTGACGTACCGCAAAGGAAAGAGAGTGATGATGCTCATTGACATTGTTGCAAATGATGGGGGATAACCAATCGTGATGAGGCATCACCAGCGGTGAACTCTATAGCACGCTTCAGATAACCACAGTGAATGTGACTGGACTGTTAAAACCTTTGATATAATTTTCGCCTGATACGATCAGTTTCTTTATTCTTGCCTAATATGTTGGCATGCATGAGTTATTATTATTTATTTATTATTTTATTTATTTATTATGATATTTTGGATAATGTGATAGACATATTGCAATCATACAGTTTGACGGTTGTTAAAAGTAATTTTTTAATAATAATAATAATATGCCATTTAGCAGACGCTTTTATCCAAAGCGATTTACAGTCATGCGTGCATACATTTTTGTGTATGGGTGGTCCCGGGGATCGAACCCACTACCTTGGCGTTACAAGCGCCGTGCTCTACCAGCTGAGCTACAGAGGACCACTCTATAAAAATATAATATTACCGTTATATCAACACAATAGCTTGTCACTCTCGTTCAACAACTTTAAATCACTTTTTGCACAGTACAGTGCCTATAGAAAGGTTATACCCCCCCCCCCCCCCCTTGGATTAAAATTTATTTAATTTTAATTGTGTTGTTGTTGTAGGTTATTGTCTGCTGAAAGGTGAATTCCTCTCTGGTGTAAAGCAGTCTGCTTCAGTCTGCTTTGCCTGTGCTTAGCTCCATCCCGTTTCTTTTTATCCTGAAAAACTCCCCAGTATTTGCCGATGTCCAGCATACCCATACCATGATGCAGCCACCACCATGCTTGAAAATAAGGAGGCAGTTACTCAGTGATGTGTTGTGTTGGATTTGCCCCAAACATAAGGCTTTGTATTTAGGCCAAAAAAGTGTATTCCATATTTTTTTCAGTATTACTTTAGTGCGTTGTTGCATACAGGAGCATGTTTTATTCTGTATATTTGTATTCTTCTTTTCACTCTGTCGTTTAGGTCATTATTGTGGAGTAACTACAATGTTGTTGATCCATCCTCAGTTTTCTCCTATCACAGCCATTTAACTCTGTAGCTGTTTTAAAATCACCAATGGCCTCATGGTGACATCCCTGAGCAGTTTCCTTCCTGTCCTGCAGCTCAGTTCAGAAGGACGACTGCATCTTTGATGTATCTGGGTGGTTTAATACATAATCAACAGCATGATTATTAACTTGACCATGCTTAAAGATATATTCAATATCTGATTTGTTATTTTTACCCATCTACCAATCACTGCCCTTCTTTATGAGGCTTTCCAAAAGCTCCCTGGTCTTTGTAGTTGAATCTGTGCTTGAAATTCAACACTTGACTGAGGGCCCTTACAGATGTACGTATGGGGGACAGAGGAAAGGGGTAGTCGTTCAAAAATCATGTCAACTCCTATTATTTCAAACAGAGTGAGTCCATGTAACTTATTATATTATTTGTTAAGCCAAATTTTACTTCTGGACTAATTTAGGCTTGTCTGAACAAAAGGGGCGAATACTTATGCACCGACTATATTTAGTTATTAAATGTTTATTAATTGGTAAAAATGTGTAGAATTTTCTTCCCACTTTGACATTATGGAGTATTTTGTGTAGATCAATGACCACAAAATTACAATTACATTTATTTCAATCCGACTTTGTAACGCAACAAAATGTGAAAAAAGTTCAAGGGGGTGCAGACTTTCCATAGGCACTCTAGGTATCAAGTCACTTGCCGATAATGTTGCATAGAACGTTAGAACTTTCAAGCATTATCACCGAACACAAAGGACATACAGTGAGGGGAAAAAAGTATTTGATCCCCTGCTGATTTTCTACGTTTGTCCACTGACAAAGACGTGATCAGTCTATAATTTTAATGGTAGGTTTATTTGAACAGTGAGAGACAGAATAACAACAAAAAAATCCAGAAAAACGCATGTCAAAAATGTTATAAATTGATTTGCATGCAGCAGGGGATCAAATACTTTTTTTCCCTCACTGTAGATGTTGTCAATTGCACAACTTATAATAATCCCCAACTTTTTTTTAACAACGTGATATTCTGCTCCAAACGGATGGAACTTGAAATAACACGATGTAGGTTAATGAAAGAATCGAACGGAAAATATGATTATTTATTAGCCTAGTGCAGGGGTGTCAAACTCATTTTAGCTCAGGGGCCACATGGAGGAAAATCTATTCCCAAGTGGGCCGGACCGGAAAAATCATGGTATATATAACTTAAAAACAACAACTTCAGATTGTTTTCTTTGTTTTAATACGATCAACATACAACATAAAGCTGGAGCCTGAGGACAGTGTGTCCAAAATAGTACAAGCACAACATCATAAAACACGTCAAGTTTATTTGAAAATTCTAAAGAAAAAGAACACACAAACACACAATGCCTCAGTGATTAACAGAACTGTTTCACAGATCACAGAACTATATCAGGGTGTCATTTCTCAGGCAGAAATGTAGATAAAAATAATGAAATCCTGTTCCCCAAACAAGTGCAAGAACCACAGAGTCAAGAATAGGTTAAATATACAAATAAAATAAAATCAATTAAAAACAATAGCACATCAACATAAAAACATATAAACATAAAGCTGGAGCCTGAGGACAGTGTCCAAAAGCACAACATCACTATTAATCATAAAACACCTCAAGTTATTTGAAAGTTCTGATGACAAAGAACACACAAACACACAATGCCTCAGTGATTCTCAGAAGTATATCACAGATCACAGAACTATATCAGGGTGTCATTTCTCAGGCAGAAATGTAGATAAAAATAATGAAATCCTGTTCCCCAAACAAGTGCAAGAACCACAGAGTCAAGAATAGGTTAAATATACAAATAAAATAAAAACAATTAAAAACAATAGCACATCAACATAAAAACATATAAACATAAATCTGAAAGCGTTGCTCAAACTCCCGTAACAGTCCCGTTATTTTATCTTTGAACCGCTTCATGTCTGCCACATGTTGGGTTGCACACACATTTTTCAGACAGGGGAAGTGAGCTGCATCACCACCGGCAAGTTGCGTCTCCCACAATGACAGCTTCAACTTGAAAGAACGTATGCTGTCATAATACTGCGTGACAACTTTGTTGTGCCCTTGCAGCTGTTTGTTCAAGTTATTCAGGTGCTCTGTAACATCCACCATAAATGCAAGGTCCTGCATCCATTCTGCGGAATTAAATTCTAACACTGGTTTGCCCTTTTCTTCCATGAACTGTTCAATTTCTTCTCATAAATCAAAGAAACGCCTCAGCACAGCACCTCGGCTTAACCATCTTACCTCAGTGTGGTATGGCAGGCCATAGATGTGGTCTTTCTCTCTGAGAAGGCTGTCAAACTGACGGTGATTCAGGCTTCTGGATCGGATGAAATTAACAGTTTGGATGACCACCTTCATGACGTTATCCATCTTTAATGACTTGCAACACAAAGCCTCCTGGTGCAAAATACAGTGAAAAGTCAAAAAATCACGTCCTCCATTTGCAGATTGCACTTTCTCTCTGAACTTTGTCACAACGCCTGCTTTTTTTCCCGATCATTGAGGGCGCACCATCTGTAGCCAGGCTGACAGCGCGGGACCAGTCCACTCCGACCCTGTCCAGCGCGCCGACGAGTGCGGTAAAAATATCAGCTGCTGTCGTTGTATCTGTCATCGGCACCAACTCCACAAACTCCTCGGTGACGGTCAATGTGTCATCAACTCCGCGGATGAAAATGGCCAGTTGTGCAACATCTGTAATGTCCGTGCTTTCATCAATTGCAACCGAAAACGCAATAAATGACTTTACTTTTTGCTTCAACTGGCTGTCCAAATCCACTGAAAGATCGGAAATCCTGTCTGCAACTGTGTTTCTTGTCAGGCTGATATTTGCAAAAGCCTGCCGCTTTTCAGGGCACACAATCTCCGCTGCCTTCATCATGCATGTTTTTACAAATTCACCCTCACTAAATGGTTTTGAAGCCACTGCGATTTCATTAGCAATGAGGTAGCTAGCTTTCACTGCAGCGTCACTGATGTCTCGGCTGTGAGTAAACACAGACTGCTGTTTCTTCAGACCCGCCAACAGTTCATTCACCTTCTCTCATCTCCGCTGTCCTTGAAAGTTGTCATATTTGTCGGCATGAAGACTCACATAGTGGCGACGAAGGTTATATTCTTTCAGCACTGCAACATGCTCTGAACACACCAAACATACAGCTTTCCCATTCAATTCCGTGAATAAATAGGATGACAATTTTCTTGGAACACTGCACTCTGCGTCCACTTTTCTCTTTTTTGACAGAGACATATTGGGGCAATGAGGGTGCCAAAGCACATAATGTTAAAAGTAGAAGCCGTAATAAATATCGCGGGCAAAACAAAGTAGCTCATTGGCTGCAAGTGCTTGACCTACTTGCTCTGCCCCGGTATAAACAGTTTGCTTGCTTAACACAATTGCTATTGCGCCATCCAGTGGACGCAATTGGAACAGCAGTTTATTTTATTGAAAAATTGCAGCGCATTTTTATACTTTACAAAATTATTATTATTATTATTATTATTAGTAGTATTTTTTTTCAAAATCATCTCGCGGGCCGGATGTTTGACACCCCTGGCCTAGTGGTTGTAATTATTTAGGCATATCATGTAAATTTAGGCGTCATGTAAAATCATTGTAAAAAGCACAAGAGATACTGTTACATGTAGGTGTAGATTATTTATGGGTTGATCATAGAAATATTTAAACGTTATTTCAACTCCAACGAAATTGCATGTGATGCAGGAACCACTGAGTCACTGCCCTGTTCTATAATCAAGATACCTGCTGGTTCGGACAGCAGCTCTTGAGGTCTCCTAAATATCTGTCGACTAGGTGGGACTCTTGTTATGACTAAAGAGGCTTCATGAATAGCTTTTATTTTTAACCTTTAAGAGTAGGTAGTAAGACGGCAGGTGGCTTAGTGGTTAAGAGCGTTGTGCCAGTAACCGAAAGGTCGCTGGTTCTAATCCCCGAGCCGACTAGGTGAAAAATCTGTAGACGTGCCCTTCGCCCTAATTGCTCCTGTAAGTCGCTCTGGATAAGAGCGTCTGCTAAATGACTAAAAATAAAAAAATAAGACGTCTTTATTCTCAGCACGTATGACCAATTTTCTACTCTTTCTGGATATGGCCCCTGGTAATGGAATACTGGTCAATAGGTTGTAATAGTATACTTTTTTGTTCACAATCAAGACGTCTTTGTGTTTATAGAAAATGTTTCAGAATTTTTCTTTCTCTTTTGAAGACGTGTAGATCAGTTATTTACTATTCTCTTGGGTTAAACTTTCAGGCAGCAAAAAGTCAAGACTTTACAAGGGGTTTGTAGACGATCACTAGCGACTGTATATTACATTTTGTTGGACACAAGCAATTATTTTCCGCACGTGCAGGCATTTATGCATTCAGCTATAGTATAGTCTAACATTTCAAACAAAGGAAAACACTATGAGGCTAGATATACGTGCAACAGGTGGTCCACTGACTGTTATGATGAACCACTGACTGTTATGATGAACCAGTGACTGTTATGATGAACCACTGACTGTTATGATGAACCACTGACTGTTATGATGAACCACTGACTGTTATGATGAACCAGTGACTGTTATGATGAACCAGTGACTGTTATGATGAACCAGTGACTGTTATGATGAACCACTGACTGTTATGATGAACCAGTGCATGACACCATATTTCTATTTCAGAGTCATTGTTTTTTCAGGTGATGAAGGCCATTCGACCAAAACTGTTTTAAAATCGTTGTTCAATAAACTCTTAGGGCCGGTTTCCCGAACAGAGATCATGCCTAGTCCTGGACTAAAAAGAGATTCTACATTGAAAGTGCTTTTTAGTCCTAATATTGAGTTGCACCCCCCTTTGCCCTCGGAACAGCCTCAATTCGTCGGGGCAGGGACTCTACAAGATGTTGGAAAGCGTTCCACAGGGATGCTGGCCCACGTTGACTCCAACGCTTCCCACAGTTGTGTCAAGTTGGCTGGATGTCCTTTGGGTGGTTGACCATTCTTGATACACACGGGAAGCTGTTGAGCGTGAAAAACCCAGCAGCGTTGCAGTTCTTGATACAAGCCGGTGCGCCTGGCACCTACCGTACCCCGTTCAAAGGCACTTAAATATTTTGTCTTGACCATTCACCCTTTGAATGGCACACATACACAATCCATGTCTCAATTGTCTCGAGGCTTAAAAATCATCATCAGTAAGGGATCATAGCTTTCACCTGGTCAGTCTATGTCATGGAAAGAGCAGGTGTTCATCATGTTTTGAACACTGTGTGTGTGTATATATGTATCTCATAAATGTATATGTATCTTGTTTCCTTTCTTTCAAGTCCCAAAGATGAGTTATCCAGGTTACCCTCCCTCAGGCGGCTACCCTCCCCAGGCAGGTGGTTACCCCCCACAATCAGGCGCATACCCCCCCCAAGCTGGAGGTTACCCGCCCCAAGCCGGAGGTTACCCTCCCCAGGCAGGGGGCTACCCTCCCCAAGCAGGAGGCTACCCTCCCCAAGCCGGAGGTTACCCGCCCCAAGCCGGGGGCTACCCTCCAGGAGCCGGGGGCTACCCTCCAGGAGCCGGGGGATACCCTCCAGGAGCCGGGGGATACCCTTCCCAGCAGGCTGGTGGTTACCCTCAACCAGGTGGAGGTTTCCCCCAGGGGGGAGGCTTCCCTCCTCAGGCCGGAGGCTATCCTTCTATGCCTCCAGCACAAGGTAAGGGTATTGCTAATATATTTTTGGGGATTACATGACTTTACCCAGATAAGCACCCCATTCCAGAGAAGCCTTTAAGTAGCACCTGCACATCTCAACTCTAAGGCTATTGCTATTTGTTTTCATGGTCGTGCAAATGTGCGCTTGTTGTGTTTAAAAAAAAAAAAGGTATACAGGGAATCTGAGATGAGACCCTGGTCTGTGACCTTGACACACAAAAGAGTACCTTTTGTGTCCCTGATATTTTAAGGAGAAATTGTTCACCAATATTGAATTTTAAAAGCCTGTTAAATGAAGTGCCTTTTAAAGACATGCTCCGGTACTTTGGCGGCTACAAAGTGTAGTTGAGGCATGCAGAATTACTGTTTTACCTCAATTAGCCACGAAATCCCTAGTTTTTCTGGAAGCTGTGCTGCGCCATTTTCCCTACATTTTCCCCCATGTGGGCCATCCCCCTAGCACATTAGAGTTTCAACCCAATGAGCCTGTCAGCCCCTCGTCATTTGAGGTGACAGCTAGCAAGATGCACCAGAGGGAGGGGAGAAGGGAGAGGGAAAGGGAGAGGGAGAGAGGAGAGAGAGAGAGAGAGAGAGAGAGAGAGAGAGGAGAGGAGAGAGAGGAGGAGATGAGAGAGAGGAGAGAGAGGAGAGAGAGATGAGAGAGAGAGAGAGAGAGAGAGAGATAGAGAGAGATCGCGATGAGAAGAGAGAGAGCTCACTTCTCATCGGAGCACCTCGTCGCTCTATTTCTCTGACTCTCTCTCCTCGCTCTCTCGGCTCTCTCTCCCACTCTCGCTCTCACTCTCGCTGCTCGAGCTGCATCTCTGAGGGGAGAGGGCGCTTGGTTCTTCTATTCTTTGTCATTTTGTGGTGGCAAACTGAGCGACTTGAGCATAACACGTCAAACCCGTTATCCATAGATAGACAGGCTATAAATGTTTGAACAACTTCAAAACAAATGTTTACGCTTGCATTCAATTGGCACTCCCTGTTGCACACAATACGTTTCCATTCCCCCTGTCACAAGGGGATTTATGGCTGATTTAAGTTACGTTCAACTCTGTTATTTATTTGACACTTAATAGGCACTTATTATAGTATTTTTGTTTATTTCTTTAATCTCTTGAGATGGGAAAAAACTTTTTTTAAATTAAATTGAACATGTGCTTTTTCTAAGAGAATGTTAAAATTAGGTGAAATCTTAGTAGATTTTTTTTTACCAAGTTACTTTTCTCAAAAGGCACCGAACTGATGGAACGAGCCATATTTGAAGTGATCCTGTGTTTTCTGTATTAAAATCTACTAAAAGACGCACCACTCATCGTGTTTGTTCTCTAGGTGGTTGGGGTGGATCCCCTGCTGGTGGAATGGTAAATATAACTTCCTATTTTATACCAAGTAACCATGATGACTACCAACATATTGACAGCCTCTAAATCCGCTGGCTCTATTTACCACGTCATCTATACTCCCTGTAACGTGTGTGGAGTCTGTTACCAAGTCATTATGTTACATCTTTTTTTAAATGTATGATAATATTTCAGTTTTCAGTTTTTTCCCCACACCAGATACAAACATACACATACTAAAAACAACTTACAGACGCAGACAAACAACAACTACATCTGCCCAGACCCGCATGCTCACGCCTCTATCCCTAGTGCCTGCATTACTGTTTGCCACATGGTCTTACATTATACCAACCTGTTTCCCTCGACACAAATGGCACCCTATTCCCATAGGTCTCTGGTCAAAAGTAGTGCACTATGTAGGGAATAGGGTGTCATTTGGGCACATAACCAGAGTCAGTAATGTGATGCCAGCTAATCAGCTCCTCTTCTCCCTCCAGGCAGGCGGAGGTATGCCCCAGGGATACCCTGGCGGTCCTGCTCCAGGTCAACCCCAGGGGTACCCAGGCGGTCCTGCTCCAGGTCAACCCCAGGGATACCCTGGCGGTCCTGCTCCAGGTCAACCCCAGGGGTACCCAGGCGGTCCTGCCCCAGGACAGCACCCCATGCCTGGTTACCCTGGTGGAGCCCCGGCCCCCAACCCCTCCATGCCAGGATACGGAGGTGGTGCTCCGGCTACTCCCTGTTCACCTGCCATCAACGTGAGAGTCTCTAAATGTTGTTGTCTTTAACATGAAATCATCAACCCTGTTACTCTGTATTACATTTTATTTACATTATGCTTTTTCCCTAACATGCTTTACAAAATGTTTCCTTGTTTCAGTACTTGCTTGCTTCGGTTTCAGTATTTCCATGCTTCAGTTTCAGTATTTGCTTGATTCCAGTATTTTCTTGTATTTGTCATTAGAGAGGCTATAGGGGTGTGATTAAGGACCACCCAGGTGCTGACCCTCTGAGGGATGTGGAAGTCCTCCGCAAGGCCATGAAGGGCTTTGGTCAGTAGTTCATCATTCTAGACATTCACTTATATCACGGATAGATGTATGTAGGAGTTAATGAGATTCAGTACAGATCTAATAACACATTATTTAGAGAGATACACATTACTTAACTGAAGTACCTTCTGGTTATTTTATTCAATTCTGTAAATCTTCTATAAATATCAACTTTCTATGGCTAGATTTGCATGTGTAGAATATTCTACAATAAACAACACATTATTTAGTGACACACATTCAATTTACTATCAGTTAAAGTGGTAATAATAATATTAACAGATTATTTTCAACAGGCACGGATGAGGCAGCTATAATTGAGCTTCTTGGGAGTCGCACAAACAAGCAGAGGGTTCCCATGGTTGCAGCCTATAAAACCACTTATGGGAAGGTGAGGTTTACACTACAGTAATGACGTTGTGTTGTTCCTTCTATTGTTGGAGTTCAATGAACACCATATTAAGATTAAAGATTTTAGATCACTTTATTTGTCCAATTGGACATAAGGTACAACGGAAATTGGATTTCTGCTTTATCCCAACCCCTCCGAAAGACATACATATTTATATATATATATACAGGTTAGAGCAGTGGACTGCCACACTGGGCGCAGTGGAGCGGTTGATATGGAAGTGCCTTGCTCCAATGCTCTGGTCTAGTAGTGCACTATAAAGGGCATACTGTATCTAGAGTGACCTCTTACACAATCTTCTATTTCACAGGATTTATTCCACGATCTGAAGTCCGAGCTGACTGGGAACTTTGAGAAGCTGGCTATTGCCATGTTGCAGACGCCAACCAAGTTTGATGCATCTCAACTCAAAGAAGCCATATCGGTTAGTGGGGCTTTTAGTCACTCTTCTCTACACCGGGGTCATGTTCATTTGAGAAAAACGTAGCATAACATTTTTTAATTGGAAAACAGCTGAAACAAGTTATTGGAGTTAATATATTATTGGACAAGTTCTGATCGTACCTCCCCCACTTCAGTCCGTTTTGGAGCGTTTTCTTCCTACTGAACACTACCCAGATTATTTCACTCTTTATATTGGGCGTCTTTTCCAGTGTCTTTAGTGAGTCATCTCAGTAAGGAACAGAAAGAAAAGCTCAATTTAAAGACCGTAGATGTCAGGCATGTTGGGGCGTGAATTGTACATCGCTCATACATTGTCCAAAATTAATTTAGCTTTCTGAAGGCACTTTATAAAGAAAATTTCGCTTTTGATTGTAGACAATCAATCTTTTTTGTCTTCAGGATGATTCTCAGTCATTTGATTAGTACATTGTTTTACTAGTACCCTACATGTTGCCTTTATTCCATCCACTGTACAACCCGTTTTGTTCTCTGGACAGGGTGCAGGTACCGATGAAGCATGTCTGATTGAGATCCTGTCATCTCGCTCCAACGCAGAAATCAGAGAAATCAATCAAATGTACAAAAACGGTAAGTGTCTGCCCGTCTCCGAAGCACAGCATTTCAGCCATATTCTGAAACACACAGCATTTCAATTCACACTCTGAAACAAAGCATTTCAGTTTAAGTCATACAACAAATGTGTCTTAGCTATGTTGATACATTTTGCACCGTTTGTGTGTTGGGGATGCACCAAGACACATTTACTTGTATGATGAACTGAAATGCTTTGTGTTTCAGAATATGGCTGAAATGCTGTGTTTGAGAGTAGGGCTGAAATGCAGTTTGTTTCAGAATAAGAGTGAAATGTTGTTTCATTCAGAGTATCAATGAAATGCTGCGTGTTTCAGAGTAGGGCTGAAATGCGGTTTGTTTCAGAATAAGAGTGAAATGTTGTTTCATTCAGAGTATCAATGAAATGCTGTGTGTTTCAGAGAATCAATTACATATTTTTTTTTTTTTTTTTTAAATCTTTATTTTAACAGGGAAAAACTGACTGAGACCTGGATCTCTTTTACGGCTGTGCCCTGTGTAAACATGTTGACATGTACAGTTTTAGACATACAGACAAGAACATTTCAAACATACAAAACAAAAAGCACAATTCAACAGAAACAATCACAGACAACATCATATTGATCCTCCATAACATTTTTAAAATGGGCAAGGGACACCAGAGTGTCTAACTTAAGTTGGATCTGCAGTTTGTTCCATAAATAAGGTGCAAAGGAACTGAAGGCAGTCCTACCCAACTCTGTGGAGACCACAGGAGTCTCTAATGTAATCCACATCTGTGATCTGGTTTTAAAATTAGTATATCTAGTGGAAATTAATGATGATATATATATGGAGGTAGTTTTAAAAGAAGTGCTTTATAAATAAACAAGAGAGCATGTTGCTCTCGCCTCACAGATAGAGAGGCCCAACCCACATGTTGAAATAGGAAACAGTGATGAGTTTTGTAACTATCACCCGTGATAAACCTGAGTGCACAATGGTAAATAGCATCCAGTGGTTTCAATGTGTTTGCCGATGCATGCATATAGATAATATCACCATAATCTAAAACGGACATAAAAGTAGCCTGCACAATTTGTTTTCTATTTACGGAGGACAGACAAGCCCTGTTTCTGTAAAGGAACCCTATCTTGAATTTGAGTTTTTTTCCCAATTCAGTAACATGTTTTTTAAAAGAAAGCCTATCATCTAACCACACCCCTAAGTATTTATATGCAGAGACCTGTTTGATTTGAGTACCATCCAAGCTAGTGATTACAAAAGTGTTTCTAATTGAGAGTTTAGACCTAGAAAAAAACATGACATTTGTTTTCTTAGCGTTTAAAACAAGTTTAAGCTGTAAAAGAGACCCCTGTAGTATCCAACTGCATTAAAGCTTGGTCCGCTGTTGGAGCAATAGAGGACATCACTGTGTCATCTGCATATAAATGGAATTTACAATATCTGACATCATCACCAATGTTGTTTATATAAAGTGAGAACAATAGTGGGCCAATTATTGAACCCTGAGGGACCCCTTGAAGTAACTGTAAGGGGTCAGACTTGACCACGTCGACCATGACGGCCTGAGTTCTATCTTTAAGATAGTCATAAAACCATCGACAGGCATCAGTGCCCAGTCCTATAGATGACAGCTTACTCAAAAGGATAGCATGGTCTACAGTGTCAAATGCTTTTGACAAATCTACATACAACGCAGCACAGTGCTTTCTATCATCTGAGGCATTTGCAATATCATTTACAACAAGCATAGTGGCTGAGATGCTGTGTGTTTCAGAGTATCAATGAAATGCTGTGTGTTTCAGAGTATGGTAAGAAATTGGAGGATTCCATCATTAACGACACCTCAGGACATTTCCGTAGACTCCTCGTCTCACTCTGTCAGGTAACTGTTTGTTGATATGTTATTAATGGGTTTTTTAATATGTTGATTGATATGTTATTAATCGTTATCATTGAGTAACGGCTTTGAAAGTGAAGGCCAAAGCTGATTTTAATTATGGCAACCTCCCCAGTACTCAACATAATTGGTGCTCCTATGGGCTCTGGTCAAAAGTAGTGCACTATGTAGGGAATAGGGTGCTGTTTGGGACGTAGCCTCAGACAGGAAGTGGCTAGAGTAGATGTTTATCTTGAGAGGTGCGATATTTGGTTTCCTGAGTCTTTTTAATCTTAGCATTTCAGAATTGTTAACAAAACTTAAGGATAATAATATTTGTAGCCATCAGATAGCCAATGGAAAGTGCAAGAGCACCAATTATGTTGAGTACTGGGAGGTTGCCATAATTGAAATCAGCTTTGGCCTTCAAAGTCACACTGTATGGGGAATAGGGTGCCCATTTGAGACATACACTCTTGAGTCAGGAAGTAAGAACTACTATAAAGATACCCTTGAAGTTTTATGGAAGCAATTACAGCAATTGGGGAGGAGAAGTTTACAGTTTCCATGCCTCAAATTCCTTCCAAGATGCCAGTATTCCTCTGTTAATAATTTGTAAGGGTTTTCCAGATTTTTGCCCCATGGAATAATATAATCAGCATCCCAAGGCTCTGGTCAAAAGTAGTGTACTATGATAGAGAGTAGAGCGCTATTTGAGACTCATCCATTCCTTTTGTAGTAAACAATTTATTCGCTTCCTGTTTGAAGGGAAATCGAGACGAGAGGGAACAAGTGGACATCAACATGGCCAAACAGGATGCTCAGGTGAACACTGTTTCTTGTTCTGCTAATATAATACTTTTTTTTTACTGTTTTAAAGATCTATTTGATGCCACAATAGTGCTGATATACCCCGTAGGCTAACAGGAAAGGGGACATTATCTACGGCTGTCAGTTATTTATTTAAAAAATTTCAAATTGGAAAATATTGGCAGAGATATGCTTCTATAATCATAGACAAGCAGTTCAGGACTTATACTGATTATGTTATGTTAGAAACTGATCATGTTATGTTATGTTAGAAACGGATCATGTTATGTTATGTTAGAAACGGATCATGTTATGTTATGTTAGAAACTGATCATGTTATGTTATGTTAGAAACTGATCATGTTATGTTATGTTAGAAACTGATCATGTTGTGTGTTAGAAACTGATCATGTTATGTTAGAAACTGATCATGTTATGTTAGAAACTGATCATGTTATGTTATGTTAGAAACTGATCATGTTATGTTAGAAACTGATCATGTTATGTTATGTTAGAAACTGATCATGTTATGTTATGTTAGAAACTGATCATGTTATATGTTGTTAGAAACGGATCATTTTATGTTATGTTAGAAACTGATCATGTTATATGTTGTTAGAAACTGATCATGTTGGGTGTTAGAAACTGATCATGTTGGGTGTTAGAAACTGATCATGTTGTGTGTTAGAAACTGATCATGTTGTGTTAGAAACTGATCATGTTATGTTGTTAGAAACTGATCATGTTATGTTGTTAGAAACTGATCATGTTGTGTGTTAGAAACTGATCATGTTATGTTGTTAGAAACTGATCATGTTATGTTGTTAGAAACTGATCATGTTGTGTGTTAGAAACTGATCATGTTATGTTGTTAGAAACTGATCATGTTATGTGTTAGAAACTGATATGTATGTTTATGGTTAGAAACTGATCATGTTTGTTAGTTAGAAACTGATCAGTTATGTTATGTTAGAAAAGATAGGTTATGTATGTTAGAAACTGATCATGTTATGTTGTTAGAAACTGATCATGTTATGTTAGAAACTGATCATGTTATGTTAGAAACTGATCATGTTATGTTATGTTAGAAACTGATCATGTTATGTTGTAGAAACTGATCATGTTATGTTGTTAGAAACTGATGCATGCGGAGTACAAGTGGGAGTGAGTAGTCAACCTGATCTGTTATGAGTAAAACTGAACAGTGGTATCATGTTTCAGAGAAACTGAGCAGGTGTATATTATGTGTTCAGGACAAACTGATGCAGTGTATGTTGTGTGTTAGGATAAACACTGAAGTGATCTCGGGAGACAAACTGGGAGAGGTATTAGGTTCCAGTTACAACCTGCTAGTACATATGTGTTCCAGGAGAAACCCCACCTGAGAGCAGGTAGGTAATCATACTGTGTTCCAGGAGTAAACCCCACCTGAGAGCAGGTAGGTAATCATACTGTGTTCCAGGAGCAAACCCCACCTGAGAGCAGGTAGGTAATCATACTGTGTTCCAGGAGCAAACCCCACCTGAGAGCAGGTAGGTAATCATACTGTGTTCCAGGAGTAAACCCCACCTGAGAGCAGGTAGGTAATCATACTGTGTTCCAGGAGTAAACCCCACCCGAGAGCAGGTAGGTAATCATACTGTGTTCCAGGAGCAAACCCCACCTGAGAGCAGGTAGGTAATCATACTGTGTTTATATTACCAAGTTCTGTTTCTCTCGAAGGGTTGTAGTTCCTCATACTAGACGTATACTAGTATACTGTTATGACTGAACAGTATATGTCTATATTATCTCAATACTATTTCTACACCCCTGCCCATGGCTAATTAGTATATTATAACCGTATTATGTGTTTATAACAACCCTGCCTATGGTTATAACAACCTTACCACATGGTTATAACAACCTTGCCTATGGTTTTGTTAGCTTGTTATAACAACCTTATGACATGGTTATAACAACCTTGCCTATGGTTCTTGTTTCTGCTAGTGTTCAATGAGTACCAGCAGATGAGTGGCAGAGACATCGTGAAGAGCATCTGCAGAGAGATGTCTGGAAACGTGGAGGATGGCATGGTGGCTGTTGGTAAGTTCAGTAATAACCATCTGGTCACTGCAAGGAGAGAACGGTGTCAGTAATAACCATCTGGTCACTGCAAGGAGAGAACGGTGTCAGTAATAACCATCTGGTCACTGCAAGGAGAGAACGGTGTCAGTAATAACCATCTGGTGACTGCAAGGAGAGAACGGTGTCAGTAATAACCATCTGGTGACTGCAAGGAGAGAACGGTGTCAGTAATAACCATCTGGTGACTGCAAGGAGAGAACGGTGTCAGTAATAACCATCTGGTCACTGCAAGGAGAGAACAGTGTGTGACTTAATTCTCCAAGTTCAGTGACTATCACCTTTTGGGATCTGAAATCCCATAGCTGTTGAATGTTTAGAATCAGGTGATTCAGGATCACCCTGATTTTTTAAATTGGTTTGATATGACCGTGGGTGAGTCCCAAATGGCACCCCTATTTCTTATCTAGAGCACTAGTTTTGACCAGGGCCCATAGGGCTCTATACAGGGAATGGGGTGGCATTTGGGACTGAGCCGGTATAAAGGTTAGTCATGTCTCTACTCTATGAACTGAAGCCTTGTCTTGTTGTGTTCCAGTGAAAAGCATCAGGAACACTCCTGAATACTTTGCGGAGAGGCTGCACAAGGCCATGGCGGTAAGAAAGAACAACTGTCTCTCACATCTGACTCTGCTCTGGCTCCACTGGGACCCCCGCGCACTCTGACCCCGCGCACTCTGACTCCGCCGATGGAAATGTTCTTTAACCATGTTTAAGTGTAGCCCTGAGACAAGGCCTGTAGTCTCGATCACTATAGTGTCTTAGACATATTGTATTTTCACACACACACACACACATTTAGACACCATAGTGACGGCGACCACAAGCCCATGTTTCAGGCCTAGCACTTACCAGATGACTAACCAGTCTGTGCTATGTGTTGTCCCTAGGGGGCTGGGACCAAGGACAGGACTCTGATTCGGGTCATGGTGACTCGCTCTGAGGTGGACATGCTGGACATCAGACAGGTGTACCAGAAGAACTACGGGAAATCACTGTACACCGCCATCTCTGTATGTACCTTACACAAAATAATCACTACAATTATATTGTTGGAATCAATCCACTGATTTTATGCTATGGAGAAAGATTGCTGCCAAAATGATGTAAATTTAATTAATAATACATTATGTTAATTTCTTGTTTTATCTGATGGAAAAATGATGCTGTTTTAACATGCTGTGACTTGTATGTGGGTTTTTATTTTTATTTCATCTGATAGGGTGATACCTCTGGGGACTACACGAAGCTGCTGCTGAAACTGTGTGGTGGAAGTGATTAGAGGTATATGAAGACATCATCTATATATAGCAGGACAGTGAAGTCATAGAATTAGAATGAGAATCATAGAATCAGAGGTGCTATGGTTACCTCATTCTGATTCTATGATTGTAGTAGTCCATAAGAATGTACCAGACAGGATCCTATATCAACCTGTGATGCATGTAGTTATTTTTGCCAAATTTGTGTCTCACACCATAATGTGCTGGGTGATATATGCAGGATAATTACTTTATTTGCTGCATATGCAATCAGTTATTGTTATTATGTAGTCTTGATTCATTTTCAGGAGTTATTTTTTTAATTGTGATATGTGTAATCATATTTCATGTTATCAGGATAATATAATTTAAAAAAATATATATAGTACTTTAATTTACAAATTATTATATTAGCTTAGTGCCAAATACTAAATGTATATGAATATTTCTGGATTTGTGTCAACACGTGCAAATATTTTAGGAGATATAGATACTTAAGGTATTTAAAATTGAGTATCTTAGAGCTTTATTGCTGACTGCTATATTCTATGCAAATTACCACCGTGTTTCATTTAAAATGAAAGCCAATGATAATGAAATATCACCACACAAAGCTGGTATTTTTTTTTCTCTTATTGACACCTTTTAATAATTTTGGTTATTATCCATTGCTTGTTTCCCAGATTTAAACACAATGTTGCCTTTTTATGCTGCGTACCCAAAGCCGCCATGGCATGCAACTCTTTCAATGTTTTTTTGTTTTTGTTGCCAAAACTGAAATATTTCATTATTTGTTGTCAATATTGTTGAAGGATTTATTCATCACATAGTTATATACAGTACACAAACTGTATACAATAATTTGATGCCAGTAGAGGGCAGTTTGAACACGCACGTGAAATTGGCAACGGGTCCACTGAGGCATTGTAACTGCAATATTATATAACTATATACCAGTACCACGTTTGTAACTTGTCACAATGGCCCAAAAGTGCTGCCTTCGTAAATGTTAGTTAGTACATGAGAATCATTTCATTGTTGTAATGTTCACCCACAGGCTTATGATGGTGTCATTCGTGTCAATTAAAAATATTTTGACTGGCTATGATTTATTGTTTCAATAATGAGATTTTTGTGCTTCCTAACATTGATTGTCATAGCCTGAGTGCTAGTCTTTTTGTGCTTTCAAGCCAAGTCCCTGTCTCTTATTGGCTTGACAGTGACAGCATTGGAGATGGCACGAGCACAAACCGATTTGGCACCAGGTTCATTATTAGGGTGAGGCACATGGGCTACTAACAGCTTACTAACCAACATACACTTACAGTTGAAATCGGAAGTTTACATACAGTTAGGTTGGAGTCATTAAAACTCGTTTTTCAACCACTCCACAAATTTCTTGTTAACTAACTATAGTTTTGACATGTCGGTTAGGACATCTACTTTGTGCATGACACAAGTAATTTTTCCAACAATTGTTTACAGACAGATTATTTCACTTATAATTCACTGTATCACAATTCCAGTGGGTCAGAAGTTTACATACACTAAGTTGACTGTGCCTTTAAACAGCTTGGAAAATTCCAGAAAATGATGTCATGGCTTTAGAAACTTCAGATAGGCTAATTGACATAATTTGAGTCAATTGGAGGTGTACCTGTGGATGTATTTCAAGGCCTACCTTCAAACTCGGTGCCTCTTTGCTTGACATCATGGGAAAATCAAAAGAAATCAGCCAGTCTGGTTCATCCTTGGGAGCAATTTCCAAACGCCTGAAGGTACCACGTTCATTACATTTTACAGACGCTCTTATCCAGAGCGACATACACTTAGTGAGTGCATACATATTTCATACTGGCCCCCTGTGGGAATCGAACCCACAACCCTGGCGTTGCAAGCACCATGCTCTACCAATTGAGCTACAGGAGGACCCATCTGTACAAACAATAGTACGCAAGTATAAACACCATGGGACCACGCAGCCGTCATACCGCTCAGGAAGGAGACGCGTTCTGTCTCCTAGAGATGAACGTACTTTGGTGCGAAAAGTTCAAATCAATCCCAGAACAACAGCAAAGGACCTTGTGAAGATGTGGTCCACTGTAGCTCAGCTGGTAGAGCACGGCGCTTGTAACGCCAAGGTAGTGGGTTCGATCCCCGGGACCACCCATACACAAAGAAATTTATGCACGCATGACTGTAAGTCGCTTTGGATAAAAGCGTCTGCTAAATGGCATATTATTATATTATAAGATGCTGGAGAAAACAGGTACAAAAGTATCTACAATAAAACAAGTCCTATATCGACATTACCTGAAAGGCCGCTCAGCAAGGAAGAAGCAACTGCTCCAAAACTACCATAAAAAAGCCAGACTATGGTTTGCAACTGCACATGGGGACAGAGATTGTACTTTTTGGAGAAATGTCCTCTTGTCTGATGAAACAAAAATAGAACTGTTTGGCCATAATGACCATTGTTATGTTTGGCGGAAAAAGGGGGTCGCTTGCAAGCCGAAAGAACACCAACATACACTTTCAGTGGATCTTGATGATCCGATAAATGGTTGATTTAGGTGCAATCTTACTAGCAGCAATATCCTTACCTGTGAAGCCCTTTTTGTGCAAAGCAATGATGACAGCACGTGTTTCCTTGCAGGTAACCATGGTTAACAGAGGAATAACAATGATTTCAAGCACCACCCTCCTTTTAAAGCTTCCAGTCTGTTATTCTAACTCAATCAGCATGACAGAGTGATCTCCAGCCTTGTCCTCGTCAACACTCTCACCTGTCACTGACATGATGGCAGCTGGTCCTTTTGTGGCAGGGCTGAAATGCAGTGGAAATGTTTTTTTGGGGATTAAGTTCATTTTCATGGCTAAGAGGGACTTTGCAATTAATTGCAATTCATCTGATCCCTCTTCATGACATTCTGGAGTATATGCAAATTGCCATCATCAAAACTGAGACAGCAGACTTTGTGAAAATTAGTATTTTGTTCTCAAAACTTTTGACCACAACTGTACATATCTCCCTGGTGTATGACATCATTTATGCAGCAGCATACAATAAATTTTTGGACTCACCATTGTGCTGTGCTTACTTGAACAGGCAAATTTTGTCATGGAACTTTGTCATCAAAGTCTGGCATTCTCTGGATGTATGGCGCTTTCAAGACAACTGGAAACTCTGAGAAAAAATAAGTTTGAATCATGACGTCAGTGATCTTCAGGTCGGAGCGATAGAAAGAGGCCCGAGTTCCCTACTTGGAATTCCGAGTCGGAATTCAAAACAGTTGTCTAGAATTCAATGATGTCTGACATTTCCCAGTTCTGAGTTTCCAGTTGTTTTGAAAGTGTCAGAAGTCATGCTGGATTGACAGCATGGCCAATGCATTTAACCTTTTCTGGCCCATGGTGTTGCGTGTGAATGTTTCTCATTTTAAGCTTGGAAAATACAGTGCCTTGAAAAAGTATTCATCCCCCTTGGCGTTTTTCCTATTTTGTTGCATTACAACCTGTAATTTAAATGGATTTGTATTTGTATTTAATGTAATGGACATACACAAAATAGTCCAAATTGGTGAAGTGAAATGAAAAAGCCCCTAAATAAGATCTGGTGCAACCAATTACCTTCAGAAGTCACATAATTAGTTAAATAAAGTCCACCTGTGTGCAATCTAAGTTTCACATGATCTGTCACATGATCTCAATATATATAGACCTGTTCTGAAAGGCCCCAGAGTCTGCAACACTACTAAGCAAGGGGCACCTTGGTGCTGAAAAGAAAGCTCTGCTGTTGGGACAGCTTTATGTAGGCCCTTACAGTTTGTGGGCATCGTTTGTCACCGTTATAGTGCAACTAATGTATTGTTTAGTGTTGTGTTGTGGCTTTGCTGGCATACATCTAAAACAAAAATGCGGACCAAGATTTACATGCTAAAATCGCCACTGTGTATTGGTGCCAACCGTCAGTGGAAGTGTTGTAGCAGTTTAAGTTCTTTGAAGGTTATGCCTTTTGCAAGTAGAGCTCCTCCTTTCACACATACATTCTGCAATCTTTGTAAGAGAACTAGTGATGTTAGGTTTGGATGCCGGAGTGTCGAAATCGCTAAGCAGTTTACTTCGAGGCAGTGTGCCGATGCTTGTATCAATGTATCAGAAGCATGTGATCAATGACGTCCGAAGCTTCGTTTTTGTCGAACAACCACCTGATTGGTTTGGTATTGGTTTGATAGAAGACAAAAAGGCTACCCTGTAATAATTTGGCTTTTACTAAATTTGAAATGATTTTGACCAGCAGGTGCCACTAGTGTGTTGATCAAAGTTTTGTTTCCCTAAAGAGTAAATGTCAGTAATGTGCTGCACTGTGAAGAGGTTATTGTGCATTTTCCAGTAACTTGATGGCTACTATTGCCAGTGTATTTTCTTAACTGGAAACTACTTGTCAGTAAGTTATTGTAAAAGTCACAATAACAAAATGTTGCCAGTAAAATACAGGACACTTACTGCTTCTGTAGACAACAAGCACATCAATTGCTGATTGGCAGCACACTTTTCACAGCGGCAGCCTATCAGAAGATTGCAGGCGTGGCTTATTCGAGGTGTGGCTTTCATTCAGGCAGCTCTTTTTGGTCTCCCATAAGGGGGAATGTCATCCCAGTTAATCTGGTCTGTTCCTACACAAAAACCTTCAAAACTGTCAGTTGTACAGCCTGCAACAAAAGTGCATGTGATACTGAATAACCACATTTCATTTATAGTCAGTCACCATGACATTGTAATACTCCATTTCCTACCAGACCATCAGGTCAGGGAGTGTGATAGATCAGCTACTGCAAACTACTGTGGATTTGACCATAAACCCCTTGTAACTAGTTAAGTTAGTCACTGAAGATTAAACGTTAACTTTTTGAGAAGCGGCTACCGGAAAATACACATCTACCTCTGAACAGTGCAGCGCTTGAGTGCTACAAATTCTTACAAAGATTGCAGAACTAATAATGTTAAAAGACATGCTCCACCTTAATCAACATAACGATAAGATGACTTAAACTGGTACAACATTTCAACTGATGGTTGGCACAAATACAATATATTTTAGACCATGCCCCCAAATATGCTAATGAGCCCCAACTTGTTGTATTTGTGTTTAGTGAGTCCGCCAGATCAGAGGCAGTAGGGTTGATAATGCATTATATTGATAGGTGCGTTAATTGCACAATATTGCTGTTCTGCCTGAGCATTCGAAATGTAACGAGTACTTTTGTGTGTCAGGGAAAATTGTTGGAGTAAAAAGTACATATTTTCTTTAGGAATGTAGTGGAGTAAAAGTAAAAGCTGTCAATAGTAAAGTACAGATACCACAAAAAAACGACTTCAAGGAAAACTCCACCCTAAAACTATCTTTTGTTGTTTGTTTCATTAATCCATTGTTGACATAGTCCCAAAATGATTTGCTTGTCAGCAATCAAGTTTTCAAGATATGTAACTTTCAAAATACAGAAATCATCACCGTATGATGGGTTTTGGGGTGGAATTTTCCTCTAAGTGGCACTTAATTAAAAAAATATATATAATTATGTTTTTGTGTGTTGGTATTTTACCCCCTTTTTCATGGTATCCAATTGGTAGTTACAGTCTTGTCCCATCTCTGCAACTCCTGTATGGATAGGGGAGAGGCAAAGGTCAAGAGTCGTGCGTCCTCCGAAACACAACACAACCAAGCTGCACTGCTTCTTGACACAGTGCCCGCTTAACCTGGAAGCTAGCCGCAACAATGTGTCGGAGGAAACACTGCACACCTGGCAACCAAGTCAGCGTGCACTGCACCCAGCCCACCACAGGAGTCGCTAGTGCGCGATGGGACAAGAACATCCCAACTGGCCAAACCCTCCCGACACTGGGCCAATTGTGCACTGCCCCATGGGTATCCCGGTCACGATAGAGCCTGGACTCAAACCAGGATCTCTAGTGACACAGCTAGCGCAGCCTTAGACCACTGCACCACTCGGGAGGCCTAAGTAGCACTTTTAAGTATATTTACTTAAGTAATTTACACCATGCCTGGGATTTGAACTCACAACCTCTGGATTTTAGGTATGCTGGTCTTTCTTCTGCACCACAAAGTCTGTAGCAACCCACTAAACATGAATTACCGATAATACATCTCTGCACT